GGGTGAGGACTGTGCTGGTGTCCGCGGCAGCAGCAGGCTGCTGGCCGCTCTCTGACTCATGGCTTGCCAGTTTCCTGTTGCCTGGCCTTGCTCCTTGCCCTGTAGGTGTGGTGGGTTGAGGTTCCGGGAGCTGGGGTAGAATTTGGACTCTACCGGAGGCACGGCTAGTGCAGCGCGCTGGTGTGAGTGAGCACCGAGGGCTCCCCTCCGAGCCTGGTCCTGCTGGGGGTGAGCAGTGGGTGATGCGCATGTCAGCCTTGTGCACCCCGAACCGTGAACTCGGCTTGAGGGCCGAGCAGCAGCTTCAGCAGAGCCTGAGCATGTGGTATGTGCAGCGGGGCTCATGACTCTCAGCTCTGCCTCATGGAGGCTGAGGTCTGGGTAGTGCTCAACCCCCATTGCCACTTCTCGCTGGGAGCAAGACACAGGCCAGCTGCATGCAGCCCTGTCCTGTGGCCAGCTGCACGTAGCCCTGTCCTGCGGCCAGCAGCTCTCTCAGGTAGGGACTGCCTGCTCTGTGCCCTGAATGGTGCAGGGTCCATGCTGGGGATGCAGATTCTGCCCCGGGGCAGGCTTTTTACGGGGAGAATCGAAAACCAGTTTAGCATGTTTCTCGATTTCTGCTGGATGAAATGGTCCGGATTAACAATACTGTGTGTGTGGCTAGGGTGGAGCAGGGGCGTGGGACTGAAGGGATTCTTGCTCCTGCCAATAGGAGACTCTGTTAATGATTGTGAGAATGTCACTATTTTCACTGTCTTCCCGACAGGCTGGCTGGCGTGCCCAAAGGTGAACTGATGGTGAGAGCCAGGCAGCCCTGCCCTGCTGGCCCGGGCCTCTTGTGGGCGGGCTCTCCTTGGAACCCTGCAGGTGTCCCCCGGGTTGGGGCTGTGCCAGTGTGAACCATCACCTTGGGCTGCAGCACACGCCAGCTGCCAGGCTTCTCGGAGTCTCTCACAGCTGCTCTAAAGTCAGAACTGCCAGGTGCTCATCGGGGAGGCTAGGACTGATGTATTCTGTCCTCGATCTCACACGGGTCTGCAAATGCTTTGAAATTTACTGCAGAATACTCGGTGCGGGGAGGGGGACGGTGTACGGACCTGCGGGAGCCATGCATTGGTTTGCGTTTTTCTGGGAGAAATCCTCAGAGAAGGCCCACACGTGAAATGCCTATGAGCTCTTGATTTAGAACACAGTGACTTTTTTTACCCTTACTGTGATGGCACACACCTGTAATCCTGGCCCTATAGAGGCTGAGGCAGGAAGATGGAGAGTTCAAGGCCAGCCTGGGCTATATAGAAAGACCCTGTCTCAAATACACACACACACACACACACACACACAAAAGAAAGGTGCTTGGGGAGCCTTTTCCAGGAAGCCAAAGGGCTTTCAGATTAAGTTTATGCTTCCGAAGGACCAGGTGACTGAAGATGGTCCTTTCTGAAGAGGAAGCCTAGAGCCGGGCAGTATGCACACATACACACACTAGCACATGCCACGGTATGTGCCAGGCTCTTGGTGAGCAGCTCCCTTGGGCCTGCTGCTCCTGCTCAGCCTGTACCCAGGGCTGTAGCTGGTCCGAAGGCCCCTCCTGAAGCCCTTTCTCCGGGCAGGACCACCTTCCCCCTCCAGGCTGTCATTCCTGCCGAGGTTCCTGCTGCTCCTTCCTGGAATGATGGAGACCTTGTCCCGCACAAAGGTCAGGCCTGGCTGTGAGGAGCTAGGCGTGATAGCTGGTTTACAGCTCTGAGAGGGCGCCTGTGTGTACACAGCCTGGCAGCACCTGGACAGGCGCCTCTGCTCTAGGTGGAGCCAGGGAGTGAGACCCAACTGCGAAGGTTTCCTGGCTGGGGCTCAGTGACAGAGCACCTGCCCAGCATGTGTGGAGCTGGGTTCAGCTCCTAGACCACACAACCTAAAGGGCTCCCTGATTCCTCACCCTCCAATTGCAAACTTCCCAGCTGTCCTCAGGGGACAGATGGAGGGCTGAAACCCGAGTTGGAGATCTCGAAGGAACTCTCGTTTCCAGCATCCCTGGCCTCGCAGGGCCCCCGGGGGTGTGGGACCCATGATGTGCCCATCGCCCTCTGGCACTGGCAGCACTCCTCCTCCACAGCACCTCAGCACATTGTCTCTGCAGGTTCACCACAGGGTGCTGCCCTTGTTTCTGTCCTCCCCTCCCCTCTCCCCTCCTCTCTCCTCTTTCTTTTTTGGGGGTGGGATTATTTGTTTTTGAAACAGGGTCTCACTGTATTGTCCCAGCCAGCCTTGAATTCATGATCCTTTTGTCCCAGTCCCTGGAGTTCTGGGCTTACAGACATGCACACCATGCCCTGCCCTACTTCATTTTCTTTTTGACAGAGACAGATAACACTGTAAATAAGACTGGGGGGGAACTGATGGAATGATCTCTGGCCTCACCCAGCAGGACAATAGGTTAAAAATTCGAGCTGTCTCAGAAGGGGCACCTACCTGAAGCCAGGCCAGGCAGGCCCTGGAGGAAAGAAGTTGAGCTGGTGCCAGGGAAGAGAGGAGGGAAAAGGAATGTCATGCCTTTTCAGTGTGTGTGTGTGTGTGGGTGGGGGGAATAGTGCCCCAAGGGACTAGGGGCTGGGTCTTGGGGAGGATGCCAAGAGATACCTTACTCCTTCATATAGGAAGCATGCACACGCTGGTGTGGACAGGCCACACACACATGTCCAGTCAGCTGTACATGTGATAAGCCGTCCCCAGTGGGCTGGAAGGGCCACCTGCCTTGGATGGTGACTTCCAGGTTGCCTTGTGAGGGCCAACTGGTGTTTCAGCAGATTTTGCAGATAAGAAGCAGGTTTAGGGCTGGGTACATCCAACTCCTTGTGCGGAGCTGGTAGTGTACAGTCTGTGGTCTCGGAGCCTTGGGAAGGGCCTAGAGTTACAGTGACAGGATGCAGGTCAGCCTGACCTCGTCATCCGTGTGGGTGGCGGGCCTCCCTCTGTGTCCCACTCCTGTGTCCCCACTGAGCGGGCTCAGGTAAGCCGACTGCCAGTCGCACTCGGCAGACCCAGTCTTACTGAGGCTGATGTCAGGTGAAAAGCTGGGACTGGCAGTGGTTGGTGGGAGGAAGCTCTTGTCTTTGTCTGAGGCAGGTGAACTTCCGCCCAGAGCCTCACCTCTCCTGACTTTGCCAGCTGCGCACTCTGGAAGAGTTGAGTGGGGTAGGGCTGAGCTGTGCACACGATGGTCCTTGGGGAGGAAGAGCTGCCAGCCTTAGATCCAGGGTGGGTGAGCTCCCAGGGCCAGGCAGAGGGGGACAGCCTGCTGCTCCCGGGACCTCTTTTTTCTACTAGTACTTGGGTGTGGTGCATAATGCTGGCATGCCTTATGTGGAGTTGGTGCCTGTACAAAATACATCTTAATTCCTCTTTTCATCCCTTTCCCTCCCTTCCCCCTCCACCCATCTTTTGACACGCTTCCCTTTTCTTGGTGCCTGTTGGCAGCACATGTGTTTGCGGCCCTTGTGTGGAGTTGGTCCGTGTGCATAACACATCTCAATTCCTGCTCGCCTCCCCTTTCCCTCCCCTCCTCGCTCCTGGAGCCTTGAATTGCCTGCATAGCCAGAGGCCCCGGTGACGGTGACGGATCTGGGCACAAGACAGTCATGTGGCTTTGATGTGGCCCTGTGTAGGGAGGGGATGAGGGCCATCACAGGATCAGGCGCAGGGCCTGTCACCTCCTAGCCAAGGTGTTCCTGGAAATGTGCCTGCTCCGAGTGAGAATTAGAAAACGGTCTCTCTTAGGCGCTTGGCGTGCGTTGCGCACTGCCGACTTGCCCATGGTGATCACGTGTGTCTGAGGGCTCTCTGAGGGTCATGCTGGCGGGGAGGTCGTGGGAGGCGCAGGCACCCACGAGTCCCAGTCTCGCTGGCGCAGGGCTGCGTTTCCCGGGCTGAGCTTTCTCAGGGCCAGTGAGGGCGCAGCACAGAGGGAAGTTCAGGGGCCAGGCCTAAGTTCGTGCTCCTGGCGGAGGAGGAAGTCCTTGGGAGGTCAGCAGAACTTCTGCTGCGGGCTGAGCTGTGACTTTGGGGGAGAGCAGAGGACCTGCCTGGTGACTTCCAGTGACACTAGGATTCCAAGGGAGCCCATGCCCTGCATCACGGAAGTGTCCCACAGCACATCAGATACAGCAGCCTCCATGCCACACGGTGCTCCTGCAGAGCCCTGTTTTTTTCCTGACTGTGACAGCCCCTAGCATTTCCTCATGTTTCTCTGAATGGGACATAAACTCACAGGGACCCGGGGCCTCTCCTCTTCGGGCCTCAGGTAGACTTGGCCTGGTCCAGTCTGAAAGTCCCGGAGCCCCCCAGCCAGTGAGAGCAGAGGTGTTGCTTCTGCAGCCCTTTGGTACCAGTGTGTTGGTGTACTGCCAGCCTGAAGTGGGTGGCTGGGTCAGGGAGAGGCGTGCCTCTGAGGCCGGAAGGGCAGGCAGAGCTGTTCCACTGAACATCTGCATTGCCCCACGGAGCAGCTGAGTCCACTGGCTTAGGCAGAGGATTGCTGTCCTCACTGCCCACTTCCTTTGGTGCTCCCAGGAGAGACAGCAGCCTCCATCCAGTGTGGGCCTCGAGCTCAGTGGGCCGGTCAGAGGGGAGAGTAGAGGCCCTGCCCTCTGGGCAGCAGACCCTGAGGACAGCATCACCAAAGTCCTTGCTCAGGACGCGAGGTCACAGCACAGTGGCAGAGAGCGGAGGTGTCCTGAGTGCCAGGCTGGCTGGGCATGGGGGGAGGGGTGCAGAGTGACTGGCTTAGCTTGTCCACCCGGGGTGCACGGCCACCTCACGCCCAGTGAGCCTGGTTGGCTGCTTTTCTCTTAGGTTGAAGCAGCACGTGGCATGGACTTTGGCAGATGCTATGCTCATTTCCTGTCTGCACATTTCCTTTTCCCTGCAGGCCTCTGGCTGTACCTGGCAGGGAGCAGCCTGCCCTGTCTCACGCTGATTGGCTCTCCTAATTTTGGGTACAGGTCAGTTCACCGGGACCTGGAGGCCCAGATTGCCATCGTGACGGAGAGCCGAGCCCTGCAGCAGCAGCTCCACCAGGTGGGTTGGGGTGGTGGGATTTCTAGGGTGTGTGCAGTGCAGCTGGCACTCAGTTTTGCTCTTGTCACTGGGCTGCCCTGAGAACTGTCTCCTGCCACTGCCTGCTGAGGCAGCAGGTGAGACTCAGAGCAGAGTGAGAGACCCCGAGTCCCGTAAGTCTGCATGACGGGGTGGCAGGGTCTCAGAGAAATCTGCCTCAGGCCGCCCACGGAAGTCCAGGCCCTGGGCTATTGCAGCTGCGCAGACCAGCTTGTACCCCGCGTCCTAGACACTTTCCAGATTGTCCTTTCCCTTGCTGAGGCTGTTTTCTCCTTGGAATGTGAATACAGCAGTGGAGCAACCTCTTCTAAGAAGTTGGGCCAACCATAAGGGCCAGCCTGTAGTGGTAGCAGGATTTTATATTCTGGTTAAAGCAGAAAACAGAAGTTACTAAGAAGGCATGTAGTGCTGTTACAGGAACGTCAGTATGTGGTTACCTGTGGCAGTTTCGATGGGCTTCTGAAGTGAAGCCCAGTCTCTGTGCCTGTGAGACCTGCACAGTGCATTGGGCTCTGACCTTGTGACATTTCTAGTAACCCTTCCCTCGAAAGTCCCATTCCCCTGTGCAGTCAGGGGTGGAGAAGCCCCTCTGCAGGTCCTCCTTGGAACCACTGGCGCCGACTGCTCCAAGTTTAGCCTTCAGTGCTTGGGAATCAGTGGCCTGCAAAACCTTGTGGATGGATGAGGAAACAGTGGCCGCTTTGTCTCCTGGACCTGCCTCCTGCAGGCTGAGACTCTTGTCCCTGACGGGGTGGGGCCAGGGTCCCAGGAAGGGCTCCATGCCTGGGCAAGAGGAGGTGACATCGGCAGTGCTGGGTGGCCAGCAGCATGATGGGATTAGTTCTGAAGGTTCCCTCCTGCAGGAAGGAGGGAACAGCAAATGGCAGAGGAAGCCCCCTCAAGCCGAGTCATAGGGTGACAGCTGGTCTTGGAGCCGGGCTTGTGGGAAAGACACGAACCCTTAGCTTTTGACAGTGGGGTCTGCTGGCCTTGTGTCTCTAGTGCAGAGAGCTGTGTGCACAGATGCCTCGGTGGGGAGGAAGTAGTTGGTGATTCTGGCCTAGATTGGGACTGAGTTCTGCAGGAACCGGGTTGATTTGGGGAGCAAGTGCCCCAGGGCTGTGCACAGGGTCCTGATGCTGACCGCTCCTACTTCCTGAGTCAGGGAACCAAACCCACATCCTGGATCTCGGGAAAGGCTGGGCTGGTTGCGGTCAGGACCCACTTTCTCAAGTGACAGATTTAGGATATTTTCTTCCCAAACTTGTATCCCAGGGGCTTTGGATTGTGGGAGGGTGGTAGCTCATGCTGCTGTGACTTCTCATTTAGAGGCAGATTGATTTCTGTTCCCGTGAGGTGCAGAAACATTGCTAGGTGGTTGGCCTGTTCTCTTCTGTTCAGCAGCTGCTCTCCTCACCCATGGTTCCTGGTCTCTGGGTGCTGGGCTGTCCAGCGCCGCACCTGAACATCCGTACAGCCCCAGGGGCCTGCAGGTTCCTGTTTTCAGAAGCAGCTGCTGGAGCTGTCCAAGAAACCGGGGAGGGCCCTGTCCATGTCACTTGGAGCACTGGGAATAGGGAGTGATTTTTGTCAGAATCCAAGTCCCTCCCTTCATTTAGTGCATACAATAAAAACTGAAAGCTTCCTGGTTTTGTTCAGAGAACACAGTCTCCACTTGTGACCCAAGAAATACTCCCTCAAATAGCATTGTGACCTTCACCAGCTGACTTCCTCCTCTATCCCTGCAGTGGAGTCTGAGGACACTGAAGCATTTCTGGTAATTTAATTGAACTCTTGGCTGGGTCTCTATTTGAGAACATAGAGCTGGAGCTGGCTCAGTGGAGACTTCTGTGAACCAGCCCCAGAGAACAGACTGGCTCCTCCGTCAGGCTCATCCCACCGGGGACTGTGACCTGAGCAGCAGTACTTAGGAGGCCAGAGGAGCAGGCTCCCATGTTCTCAACCTGTGGAGCTGTGGGTCGGCACAGTTGGGAAGTGTCACATGGACGCTGGCCTCAGGTGCTGCTTTCATGAGGAAGACGACAAGCATGGGAAAGGTCCAGGGAGGCCAAGAGGGGCACACTGCGTTTCCCTGTGCTCGGTGGGCACAGCCCCCAGCGCATTCTGTAGTGTTGGGGTGGGGCAAAGGAGTGGCCAGGGACGCAGGTTCTCTTCCCGGGCCTAGGACAGCGCAGGCCCTCAGCCTCGCTCTTGTGGTTCCGACGACAGTCGCCATCACGTGATCCCCACGCTCGGGGTGGGGGTTGGGGGGTGGGAAGGAGGTATTGTAGGTGTGGCCCCGATTTTACAGAGAAGGGCATGGAAGATGCAGACCACACTGAGTGCTGGAGACGGTCAGTCCCCTCACTGCTGCCTTCTGCCCGAGAAGGTGTGCTCTGTCTGTTGGGGGAGACCGCGCTGGTAGGTAGACTGTTCATGGAAGCAGTAGTCCGCAGTTTCTCCTTCTGTAGACCTTCAGTACAGTCGAAAGGTAAGCATATACCATATTTCTCCCAAAAGAAGACTGGGTCTTACATATTAATTTTTGCTTCAAAAGACAATAAGGGCTTATTTTCAGGGGTTGTCTTATTCTACATTGACTCATGTACAAAAATCTACATTTAGGGCCGCGGATTTAGCTCAGTGGTGCCGCCTCCTGCCTTGCGAGCACAAGGTCCTAAGTTCGATCCCCGGTACCCCCCCGTCCCCCCCAAAAATCTGTATTTTTCAAATACAGTCATGTTTTTGATAATTCAGTATGTCTGTCATGTGTTGCAGTGGACATACTAAATATGTCCGTCTGGTTGATGATCTTAACCGGGGCTTATTTTAGGTTAGGGCTTATATTACCAACGTCCTGAAAAACCATGCTAGGGCTTATTTTCTGGTCAGGTCTTACTTTGGGGGAAATAATGGTATGAATATTTTTAAACTTGTTTTTAAATATTAAAGTAATAAACATTGTAAGAATTGAGAAAAATTAGTTGAAACTAAGCCTTCATCAGACTTCATTTTGATTATCCCCTTGCTGTCTTCTGTACTGTGTAACTGTAGAAAGGATGACTTTTTAAAAACTGAAATTAGCCCGGGAGGCTGAGGCAGGAGGATTGCCATGAGTTTGAGGTCAGCCTGAAATGCACAGTGAGACCCTGTCCAAAAAACCCAAAAAAACTGAAGTTAGGATTACTATTGGGTCTCCACGTGCACAGATTCTGAATCTAAGGATTTCCCCATCTGTGGATTGAAAATATTTGTGAAAAAATTGCTCCTATACAGACCCTTTTCTTGTTATTCTTTAAACAATACAGGTATAGCAATTATTTACATAGCTTCTCCACAGTATTAGATGCTGTAGGTAAACTAGAGCTGAGTTAGAAATCTAGAGAGGATGTGTGTAGATTATGTACAAGTACTGCACCACTAGGTGTCAGGGACTTGATAACCCCAGGTTGGGTATTTCGGGGGTCCTGGACCCAGTCCCCGAAGAGGCGGAGGGGCCCAGTATGTGCTGTGTGTACTTCCTGTCCAGCTTCTCTGTCGCTTCTGTGCACTTTCCCGCTTACTGAAAGGGTGCTGCGTGACATGGTCTTGTGGTGAATGTTGCTTTGTTGTGTGGCTTTATTGCTGAGTTGCTACTGGACACTTAGGTGGTTTCCAGCTTTTCCATATTCTAAGTGCTGCTGTGATGAGGGTCTGTGTACAGGAATCTTAGTTCATAGATCTGAGTGCATGGTTGTCTTTTCGGAATAAATCCTGGACTTGGTAAGGCTCTCAAGACCTGTTGCCAAATTGCTGACTAGAACGATGATGCAGTCCCACCTTCAGCAGTGCACCTCAGCTGGATAATGCTGTTACAAAACGACGTGTTGCCAGGTTATCAGAAAGAAAAATGACCCAAGTTTAAGACATACTTTCTGTGTATATGGTGGTGGGGATGGAGTCCAGGGCCTCCGATGTGCTAGGCAAGTGCTTTACCAGTGAACTGCGCCCAAACCCGGTACACTGGTATTTTAATTTGCACTACTGCATTTAGTGACAGTGAACATTTAAAATATTCCCCCCCACCCAGTGTATTTCCTCAACTCTAAATTGGAGAAGTTAGGAGAGACCTGCCCATGTCTTCAGATGGTGGACAGCTGCCCCTCACAGGGACCCCGTTGCTTCTGCAGGCAGCCTGCCCTGGGGAATGGTGCTTGGGGCGGGGGGGCGCTGAGCTGGGCCAGTGAGCCACGCCACTGACTCTTCCTGTCTGTCCCTCTTCCTCAGGAGCAAGAGCAGCTCTACCTGCGCTCAGGCGTGGTGTCTTCTGCCACCTTTGAGCAGCCGAGTCGCCAGGTGAAGCTGTGGGTGAAGATGGTGACTCCTCTGATCAAGAACTTCTTCTGAGGACGGACAGGTGCTGTCTGATGCGCCGCCTCTCAGCACGGTTTTTCTGAGAGCTCAGAGTCTGGCCATGATACCCCAACTACCTGAGCACTTGGGGACCCCTCCAAGAACTGAGGACTCTCTCTCACCCCTTCCTTGCTTATGCACAGAGCTGTTCCACTGAGTTTGTGGGCAGTTGGTCCTCAAGCCTTTGATGCCAAGTTAGACAGCCAGTTCACCTCTGGTCAGTGCCAGGGCACCTATGACGGAGTGTGCAGTATGGGGTCCTATCCTACCGTCTTCCAGTGGCTCCTGGGAGGCCCCAGGACAAGGGCCCTGTGCCCAAGGAGACAGAAGGTAGATTCTGTCCTCCCTCCTCTTAGTTGAGCGCGGCCCTGTGGGACACGGTACCTGTGGAGGAGGAGGAAGTGCTCTTGGATGGGAGCCCTGGCCAGCTGCAGCTCAGATGAGCTGGAGGCCAGGCTAGACCTGGCTGCCTTGGCGTCTCCTTGATGTTTTTGTGACACAGTTCAGGGGATGTGGCATTCTAGACAGAGGTGCAATGTTGTAGATGACAGGACGTGCTCTCCCCAGCAGGACGAGCTTGCTTTTCGAGAGCTGCTGGCCGGGTCCCAAGACAGATGGCCGGGCAGCCCTACCTGGGCTGCATGAGCAGTGCTCTCTGGAGCTGATCTGCATGTTCCAGGCCCCTCAGGTCCCAGCGCCCCCAGGGTACCCAGAGAGGTCAGGGGTTTTGTGAGTCGTCTGGTGGTTGGCCGGCCTGTGGCCTGTGGGCGAGCTAGTGCGCGCAGGGTTCAGCGTCAGCGCCAGATGTCTGCGGTGCGGGTCTCCTTGGGTCCTGCTGCCTTGCTTCTCTGCTCACTCAGCCTCATGTTTTGAAAGATTCTTTATTTCATCACACCGTTTTTTCTTCATTATTTTCATTACATTTAATTTTTAAAAAATAATATGTAAATTTAGAGAGTGAAATAGAACTGTGACCCACAGAATGCAGCCAGTTCTTGCTCTGTTTCCCCAGCAGCTGCTTTTGGTTTGGTTCTCCTGATGGTCACACATGTCCATATTTCTAAACATATGCATTATCCCCTTAGAATATAAGCAAACTCTTCAGAATATATTTATTTATTTATTTATTTATTTTTTGGTACTGGGGATCGAACTCGGGTCCTTGTGCTTTCCAGGCAGGCAGCAGAACCACTGAGCTAAATCCCCGGCCCACTCTTGAGAATATAAATGATACTGAATCATACCTCAGTAAAAATGAGCAAAATTCCTCAATGTCATCAGATAGTCAAAAGGTCTTCCAGTAGCTTTATATTGTTACGTTTTGGATTTATTTGCTCTCAGTCCCGAATAAGGACAAGACCTGGTGCTGGGTGCTGTGCCGGGGTCGGCTCCCATTCTTGGGCATCTTCTCACCACAGGGCCTCTTGAGCCTGCTCCTCCCCCGTGTCTCCAGGAGTCACTTTCAACCCTTGCTGCCCCGCGTGCGCCTCAGGCTCCAGCCTTGCACGGGAACGCCGGAGCAGCACTGGGCGGCTCAGCCGGAGTCTGTCCGGCACTTTGGTCCTCTGCTCCCCGGGAGCTGGCAGGAAGGAGGGTCACCTTCGGTGGAATCTGAAGGGCCATCTGGCCTTGTCACCACATCCCAGCCCCAGAGCTCCTAGTGTTAGACAGGACAGTGCAGGTTTCAGTGGCAGGGAGCAGGGTGGAGTGGCGGCCAACCACACTGCCCCAGGGGAGCCACGAATCAGGTAACACTGTTTGCCTCTGCACCAGTTACCAAACTGTCCTGTGGACAATTATGTGAGAGGAGCCTGGGGAGCCGCAGGGGCGCTGGGTTTCTGTCTGGAGAGGAGAGGCTTGCTTAAACACCCCTCGCATTCCTGCAGTTTCTGTGGGACCAGAACAAACGGCGCTGTGCCACAGCCCGGCTTGCTCAACCTTCTTTGCTGCTCCCTTCTCCCTGCCACTTCCTTTGTCTGCTCACAGCCTTTAGGGTGCCGGGGGCAGGTCCTTCCCTCAGCTCTCCTCAGACCAGGGCTCCCCAGCTCTGTAAAGCAGCCAGGAGAGGCAGAGACCAGAAGCGAGGGCTGCTTCAGGCCCCCAGCATATGGGGACTTTGCTCAGCTCCTCTTTCCCCATCCCTGAAGTACAACTCAAAGGTGAATCATCCCTTGGAAAATGTGGAGATACTTTTGTCCACTAGCCACAACATGTACATGTGGAGTAAATTACTGTTTTATTTCAGGCTCTGAAGGCAAAATTGGAAGAGCTTCACATTTTGTGGTTATTACTAAGGATTGGGAGTGAGTTGCCTGGTGGCCACTGGCATTTTATCTCTGGTTGAGGAGGGGCCTGTCCCTGCTGGGACACAAAGGGCTGCAGTGACCCCTCCTGGCCAGCAAAGTGGTTGCCACGCAGCCAGGCGCCAGCTGAGATGCCCGGTCCTGTGCTGTTCCCCAGAGGGGTGGTTCCCAGAGCCCCAGGAAGGAGGGAGCTGAGGGGCTTTTCTTCTCCTCCCCAGTCAGCACCCTGGGCCCGGGGTACTCACAGTGCTCATTATTCCCCTCAGAATTCAGACTTCCCAGACCCCTTGTCACCCACGGTTTAGGTGCATATACTTGGAAAAAAGGTTTTGCCAAAAAAATCAGGATCAGCTGAGCTTCAGGTGCTGTTCCTAGGAGGCTCACAGCACTTGGCTAATTTGAAGCCTAAGACACCCAAGACTCATGCTCCCCCAGGGAACTGTCTTACCTGGATTAACCAGTGATGTGCTAATCTGGCTAGTCACCCCTTCGTCTGAGGGCCCGTCCGCCAGCTCTGCCCCATGTCTTGTGCTGGCACAGTGAGCCCCAAGGCCTGGGCCTCGCCTCACTTCTATTGGAGTGGCTCTGACTGCAGAAAAGAAGGGCTTGCAGTGCCACCTGCAGCCGCCGTAGCCTGGGCAGATGTCTCAGATGAGGAGGGGCTGACACATGAGCCTCTGGAGCACTCGCTCGTGTTTGTGGGCTGTGGGTGCCTGAGGTGGTTCTCCGGAGCCCTTCTGACAGCTGGAGGGGAGTTTTTGGGTTGTTGTATAGATGTCTGAAATGAAAATAGGCTGGAGGACTCCTTCAAAGGAGTGGGAACTCAGCTTCCTTATGCCAGGACCAAGAGGGCCTTGGAATTGGGTGGAAACTGCCACTGAGTAGCTGTCTCATCACACAGCGCCTGCTCTGCACCTGGTCCTAGCACAGGAAGTGAGAGCGATGAGGTGAGGTAAGGCAGAAGGCAATGCTCCGCTGTGGAAATAAGAAACCCGGACCCCTGGAACTCAGCCCTTGCCGTCCCCATTGTGTCTGTGCCCTGCGAAGTTTCAGAAGGGGTGGGCAGCTGAACAGAATGTACTTCAGCAACGTAGAAACAGCACCCATATGGAATAATTATTCTTTTGAATTCCGGTGTGGAGGTTGGGGGAGGTGGGCATTACCATAATCACAGAAGGTCCTCTTGTCCTTGAGAGAAGACGACAATGCCATGACACGGTGTGCAGGGAGTGGCTTGGTCCCACACTGAGGGGTTTGTATCAGCATCAGCCCGAAGGTCTGACTGCTGTGCCCTAGCTCCAGGTGCTGCTGCTAAGCCTGGCTGGCCCACGGGAGCTCAGGATTTGGGGGTCTGGCCCCTGGCTGCAGGTATTTGGGTCCTCAGCCACAAGCAGTGCCAGGCCCCCTGTGGCATCAGGCACTGAGCCAAATCAGATGAGCAAAGCCAAGTGACTGCAGTTGTTTAATCTGCACCACCTCTTCCCCGCCAGCCTCCGCCCTCTGGTTCGTCCAGGTGCAGTTGGTTATAAAGCACCTTGATTATGTAAGAGACAAACCCCATCAGTTCCTGTAAAAAGTGACAGTTGCAAGGCTGAGTTTCTGACTGGAAAGTCTGAGTTTCGGCCCAGCTGTTGGTGTGTGAAGGGTGCGGCTGGGAGGCAGCACCAGCACCAGCTACACCTGCAGGAGTAGTGCCACAGCTGCCAGGATCCACTTGGCCGCCTTCTCTTTGGTCCTCAGGTTGAAGGTCCAGACATAGGTGGGGCCGCGGATGCGCGTCTTGTACACGGGGCACTCATATATGTTCTTGGTCTCCATTCGGTCCACAGGAATGGCCTTGATGAAGATGACAGGCATGGCTGGCGTCAGCTCCTTCAGCCGCGCCTCGGCAATGACTCCTGTCTGTGTGTCCCAGCGGGCTCCTGTGGGGTGGGCGAGGTCGGGGGTCAGGGTGGCCCGGTGAGGGGAAGGGTCCTGCCTGCTGTGCTGGCAGTGAGGGGAGGGCCCCCAGGGAGGCCGAGCACCTCCCTCCCCTTTGCAGGGACAGGCTACTGCCGACACCCCAAGTGCTCAGGCCACGTGCCAGGGACTGCAATCGCTAAATACGGGACACAGGCAGAGGACTCGACGGGTGTTTCGTGAGTGCTGCCACTGCCCTCTGTATCTCGCAGTGCACCGAGGAGCAGCTCAGCTCCGAAGCTCTGGGGTCCATCTGTTTAAATGTGTGGTGTTTTCAGAGACTCATCTGTCAACCTTCTTAATTTCAGTGGCAGGAAATCATTAACTCCAGCTGAAAATTACAGAGCTCCCTGGCTCTCTCTCCTCCTGTGTAATGTCTATCCTGTATGTACGTATATGGTATAAATAAGTATATATATGCATATATAAATATTATTTGCCTTTAACCAGACTGCTGTCATTTCTAGTTGTCCTGGTTAATAATGTGTGTATGTCCTGTCTGGAATTCCAAAATGAACACGGAGAACACTGCTGCTCCGCCCGTGCTGTGATGTGGGGCAGTGGCTGGCGAGCGGGCCTGGCTTGTGAGGGAGCGATTGTGGCTCCATGTGGGGGCTGGGGGCGCGGCAGGACGGGGGCCCCGGGTGAACTGTAACAGTGCCCCCCCTCTCCCCTCCCCCTCAGAAGCCTCTCTGGGGGCTCTGGCAGCTGGCGCCCTTCCCTCTAGATCCTCGCTGGGGCCAGCAGCAGCTTGAGATGTGGTTGTGTAGGGGTTGGGGCCTGTCCTGGCTGCCTGCTCCCAGGCACAAGGGCCGAGCTCACTGCCTGCAGTGGTTTTTCAGCTGTCCACACAAGAGCGCAGTCGTTCTCAGTCAAGCAGAGCCAGGCCGGCTGCCTGGAGTGGGGTTTCTGGGCTCCCCAGACCTCTGTACATTCTCAGAATCCTGTCTGCCTCTAGTGGTCAGCGTGGCTCCCGGCTGCGAGCCCCCTGCCCACTCTGAGTGCCTCTCTTCTGCCGGCCGGGCTGTGCACAGGTTTCCTCCAGCCGAGTAAGAGTGGCTCTGGAGGCCTCTGCGGGCAGACCAGCCCCTCCTCACCTTCCATGAAGAGCCCGTGCACATAGGAGCCCTCTCTGGGGGGAGCAGTCACGTCTTCCCGGTTCTTCTTGGTCACTTCCACAGACAGACACATCTTGTCCAGGGGCCACTCATTCTTCCTCGCCATGGATTGCATGATGGCCGTGAGGAAGGACTGGGGCTTGAAGAGTCCAGCCAGCCACACCACAGTGGGCAGGGCGAGGTCGGTGGTCCAGGCCTCCAGCTCCTGGCAGGAAGCAGTAGTGACTGGGGGCGGGGCGGGGGGGGCCGCTGGGGAATGAACCGGGCAACGCCAGAGCCTGGGAGGGCCTCAGAGAGCAATCAGTAGAGCCCGCCACCTTCCTGGGACGTCTGGCAGGGTCGGGATGGAATGGCAAGACACTCAAGGATAATTGGGGCCCCCAGAGAAGTTCTTGCTTTTGTCACCCTGCTGCTTATACAGAGTGCGCCCCGAGACCTCCTCACTGGGAAGTGAGGCCACTCCACTAGGGACTCACCTGTTTTCCTCTTTAGGAAGGAAGTGCCTGCATTATCAGGGCGGCCGAGAGGCTGTCTGGGCCCTTCCACCCAGCACAGGTCTCCAGGGCCATCTCTGCTGTGTCCCGGAGGCTGGCATTTGGGCACCCCGAGCCCCAGGTGCTCTGGAGGCTCCCTGAGTCTGAGTCAGGCCGTGCTTACCCTGATGCGGAGCAGCAGGTCGGCGTACCAGGCCGCCAGGCCCATCATGGAGGGGTAGGCCCGGGCCACCCATGTGTTGGGCACGGTGTCATAGAACAGAGCCGTGGACAGGTCTTCCATGTCAGTGGTGATGGTCAGTTCCCCCTAAGGGACACACAGATGTGTTCAGCTGCTCGGCTCGAGGTGGACTGGTCAGGCACATGGCTTGCTTGGCCCGATCCTGGGAGTGGGAGGGCACCGGCCCCAGTGTGTCCTGAGTGCTCAGTGCAGCATGACCTGGAAGCGCCCTGGTCAGGGACACAACAGCGTCTTCGGCTGGGGAGGTCTGGGTGACCTCCTGTGGCTTGTCCTGGGGCCCCAGAGCTCCAGAGGGGGAAGGGGGCAGGCCGTAACATACTGATCCCTGGGAGCCAAGGCTGGGAGCCTGGGGTGTGCTGTTTGTTTCCAACCACTCCGGGTCAGCCTGCTTCCTAAGTCATGGCCCCAGCGTCCTCAGTGGCCCTGTTCTTTACCTTCAACCCCAGGTTCAGCTCCTTTAGCGAACGGCGCATCTCATTGATCAGGATGTTCATTCTTTCACATTCTTGAAAGGCAACTACCACGTAGGGGGTCCTTGCGGCCGACTTTCCCATGATCTCAGCCATGGTGAACGACTCCGGAATCTTCTCGAGGATGTCATCCAGCACGGCCTTCACCTGGAAGTCAGTCCCCAGCAAAGCCCTGTCACTGTGTGTTCCCCAAAGCAGAGACCCCCGCCCTGCCAGTGTCAGGGCTTGGGAGCCTGCCCAAGTGTTCACAGACCCGAATCCCAGAGGACGGGTAAGAGGCAAGGGAAGTTGCCCAAGACGCAGGGTTGTGGGGCATAGCCATGCGTGTGACGGGCCAGCCAGCACTGACTGTGGCCCTACTGGCCCGGCCGTGTGACCAGAACTGGGGCCCATCGGGATCCCTGGCCTGGGGTCTCCAGACATGCCCAAACCTACTCACTTCTTGTCCTGTTAGATTGCTAGTGAGCATGGGCTTGGGACTTCGTCCTCTATGGGGACCATGCTGGCCACACCCCTTCACAGAGTGGCCCGTATGTTGGTCACACCCACCACTGTCCATTAGTAGATTCCTGGTTTCAATTGTTGGGTCAACCAAAGCTCACCGCCTTATAGCAATAAAAGTCTTTCGATCCTGAATTGGGCCTGTTTACTGTGGAGCCCAATACTTGGCTGATTTGTGACAGAACTTTTCCAGAATGTATCAGGAAGTGCAGAGGTGCTACTGCCTCAGGCGATGGCCTCGAATTAACCCAGACAGGAGAGTCAGCGCCCTTATGCTCTCTGGACTTTGCTCATTCATCCAGTGCATGTGAGTGCAACCTACCCGTGTCTCCCCAAGCTCATCTGGAAGACTGTTGGAGTATACCTGGGCTGTCCTGAAGAGCCACACTCGCACGTGTCCCAGGGTTCCCGCTGCAGCATGGACCGTGTCCACACACACAGGATGCTTCTGTCTAGGCCAGGGATGCCTGGGTCCTGGTCACTAGCTTGCTGACCCTCCCCTCCCTGCCAATTTCCGGTTCCCCAGGCCATGGGTGGGACAGTGTGCCTGGCTAGCGAGTGCCCAGATCCTCCCTCCAGATCCTGCCCCTTCTCAGTTGGAGAGGACATGAGGGGTCCTGCCTTTTCCTCGCGGGATCCTCCTGTGCCCGCTCCCGAGTCTGTCTCTTTGGGCTGCATTTCTAGGACGGTGCGGAACAGCTTCTCCGAAGTGACGGTCAGAAAGCCGATCTCTGCGTTGGGGTGCAGGCCGTAGAGACAGGGACTCTCAGGGGGCAGATTCTCATCGATGTATTCATGGTAACCCTGGGAAGAAGGACGGTTTGTAAGCAGACTGCCAAAGACAGTCTCAGCTAATGCAAGCTAAGACCCATGTCCTGTGTTTATTACGCATTTCTCACCTGAATGTTCCACCCACGTCTTGCCTTCTGTACAAATCCTGCTTGTTCCCTGGCCCCTCACAGGCTGCCCCCTGTGCTCCCAGCTTCATAAAGGAAATTTCCACTCCTTCCTTATTTTGGTTGCCTGGGTTCTTGCTCGATTATTGATACTCCCTCCACGCTGTAAGGCTCCCACTGGGGGCTAGCCCAGGTAGCATTAACCCCTGCTGAGCTCACGTTTGACACCCCCCCCCGCCCCCCGTGTGAGTGCCTGTCCTCACCTTGTAGTCCAGGTTGGGAGGAATCTGGAAGCTGGGGGCCAGCAGCACCTCTCCGTCCAGCATCTCCGTCCGGACGTACTCCGCCAGGTAGGTCCTGCACAGCCGGCGGTCCCAGTCATCTGTGATGTGCCCACCGTACATGATTTCCCCAAAGAGGTAGCGGAGATCGTCCCAGGGCACCTTCAGGAGGGTGGAAGCAGTTAGGATGAGGGGTTACCCTGCTGGCTGCGTGGTCAGCCATCTTGGTTGGCTACTGTGTTCCCGTGCCCTTCACTGCTGACCACTGTCATCAGGCCAAGGCCCGCCATGCTGGCGTCTGGCCCGGGTGACCAGCCCCTCCAAGACACGCTCCTCCGGCTCCTCTTCTCAGGCTGTGTGTCAGCTGTGACCGGTGGCTCCCCTCACAGCGGCCTCCTCAGGGCTCCTCTGCTGGCGCCCTAGGTGTCACAGACCCAAGCAGGGCGCCCTCCTTCTACGTCCTCCTCTGTATTTTTCATGCTCAGTCTGACTCTCCCGGAGTTCACCTTCAACACAGGCAGCTGAATTCTGAGTTGCTCCAGGGTTGGCTCCAGGCCACCGTACCTCCCATCGGCCACAATCTCCCATGGGTCATGTCTTCTAAATGTACAAGCCGGCCTCCCTCCTCAGCCGCTGAACTGGCGTGTGCGGAAGCGGTGGTGGCCAAGCGCGCTCAGCGCAGACCTCTGCCAGGCTGCCTGACGGTACTGACCACGTGTGCAGTTTTACATTTTCTAGCAGCCACTTAAGAAAGTTAAAGGATCATTCTAACATGTTAGAAAATGTATTCATGAATGTATTCATTGCGTCTTTCAATATCCTGCCTTTGAGCCTAGAGTGTATCTTACACACACAGTACGTCTGGGTGGGCCGGCTGTTCTGATGTGGCTGGCGGCCACCTAACATCCGGAAGCCCACAGAGGTCTGCTGGGCATGCGGATTTTGTCCAAGGACTGCAGACCCTTGGGGAAAAGGAGACATTTATACTACACTTGACCTTAGCCAAAAGGCCCAGGGGCCATGAAAGGTGACATTTATTAACTTCCACAGTGCCATGGCTAAAAGGGCTGTTGATCAGATACTGCTGAATTAATAACAACTAGTTGATCAATTAATTTGTTTAGTCTCATGAATTTTTTGTTTCTTGGTACCAGAGATTGAACTCGGGACCTTGTGCTTGCGAGGCAGGTGGCAGCTAAATCCCTGGCCCAGGTCTCATGAATTTTTACTGAAAACATTTTCTTTAAATTGTCATTTTCCTTTCTCCTTCCTTTCTTCCTTTGTTCTTCTGTCCTTCCTTCCTTCTTTCTTTTTTTTTAATTTTGAGATGGAGTCTTCACCAAGTTGCCCAGTTTGTCCTCAAACTTTCGATCCTTATGCCTCAGTCTCCTGAGGAGCTGGACTGCAGGCATGCGCTGCCATGCCTGGCTCTCTAAACTGTCATTTTCTGACGTGAAATGCTTTTCCCTGCTTGGTTATCACGAGTTTATGAAAAGCAGCTCTTTCCGCATCTGGCTTGCTCAGAGGCAGCTTTGCATTTCCTGTGAGGCAGCGCCCCCACTCAGCCTCCTGTGCCCCACAGCTGCCTCCCTGAACGTCATTTCCCACCAGATGGGGAGGGGTCGGTGGAACTGATTACCAGAGGATCCCAGCTGGGTTTCCACACCTGCCCCACAGAGTCCCTGGAGTGCTGTTGGAGAGAGATTACCAGGCCTCTCCCCAGGAAGTCTGGGGCAGTCTGCGTTCTTAACAAACACTCCAGCTGGTTTTGGTCTTCCAGCCAGAGTGGCAAGCACTGATTTTCCTCAGTCAGGAGGGCGAGGGGCCGCTGGACACGAATGACGTCACGACAGATGCTTACGAGCGTCAGGTGTGACCTGTGCTCCGCAGGGAAAGGGCAGGACATGGTGAGAGTGGATGGCAATGCTCCCTGGACCACCAGTTCGGACCCAGGAAGGGTGGCCCAAATGGCCCCATAGAACCCTGTGCACTCAGCTCGGAACCTGTATGCATGTAAGTGGGTCACAGGGCTACATAAATGTGTTTTACAAATTCTTGCAAGATTGTTCTTCCCACACTTGTCTCCCCAGAGGGAACTGTTCCTACCCGTGGTGATGGAAATCCTCTCTGACATCTTCCCCCTGCATGTTTACTTGTGAGGGGTTGAGGACACGGTGACCGCAGGTGGAGCCTACCTGTCCCTTGCCCCTAGCGTTGCAGGGGTGTGGCAGCCTGCCGACCCCTGGCCCTCTTCTGCCCTCCTGCTTCTGCGGCCGTGACTGCTTCTGCGGGGAACATCTGCCCCCTTCCCAGGCCCTGCTTCCCTGACAGCCATCCCGGCGTCACCTTCCTGGGCCCGGGAAGCTCCGTGGCGGCCTTCTAGGCAGGCTGCTGCCAATCCTGGCCAGGGCCTCCCGCTGTGCCTTCTGGGAGCCCCACAGGGAGCCACTGTGCAGGGGGTGTGTCTGTCTTTTCTTGTCTGGGCTTGGTGCCTCCCCCGCTCCCACTCTTGCCAGCATTTTGAGCTTTGTTCCAAGGGAGTGGAAAACGGGTTTCCTAAGACTGGCATGGAAGGCCAGCCTGGCCCTTCCCTTTCCCCATTGAACCCCCAGTGCTTCTGGCGATGCTGTCACCCTTTCCCTCAGTGACTCGCTGGAGGTCTCTGCCACTGAGCAGCAGGCTCCTCTGCCACCAGCACTGTCCGTCGTCTGTGGCTCTGACCACCCAAGCTGGTTGCACCTGTGTGGCCGAGGGCTGCTTTGTGCCATTCCACCTCTTGGCCTCTAAGAGGGCGCTTGGTGCCTCACTCTCTCGGGAGCCATGATTCTCGCTGCCATTGATTTGGGGCCCAGAGGAAGGAGAAGGCCACGATCTGTAGGGGATACACAGCCCTTGTGCCTCCAATGGAAGAGAGGTGCTAGGGCAGAGCCAGCCTCACCTGCATCAGATGCTGACAGCCACGTGAGGGGCTGCTGTTCGCCAGTCCATGGATGGGGTCTTAGGGGACATATGGCTGAGGCCACTGGGCCTGAGGAGGTACAAGCCACTTAGCTCTCCTCATCTAATAAAGAGCAGGACTAGGGGCGGGGATTTAGCTCAGTGGTTCTGCCGCCTGACTCGAAAGTGGAAAGACCCGAGTTCGATCCCTCTTACCAAAAAGAAAAGAGCAGGGCTGGGATTCAGACCCCCACCGCCTGGTCCCGAGCTGGTGCTCTTGAACTCTAGGCTGCACACGTGTCCACCACTCTGGGGGTGTGTGTGTGTGTGTCCCTGTTTGCTGCAACCTCCCTGCTAGAGACCATTTGCCCCAGGACTGGAGTATTCTGTTTTTGTTCTTTCCAGCCCTCCTTAGCAGTCTGCAGTCTGCATACAACTTGGTGCATTTATTCCCTTTTTCGATGACAATGGAAAGAAGTGCCCCATCTTGCTGAGACTTGTTGGGGCCCCTCAGTCAACCAGGGCTGTCTCTAGGCACTGACTTCAGCACCTTGGGGACAAGAGGCCCTCAACCCAGGAAGTACCCCATCCCCTTCCTGTCGCTGCTGGGTGGTCAGGGCTGCTGGGATTGGGGGGAATGGAGTTCCAGAGCAAGAGGAGCAGTTCTCTGTGAGTGGGCTGTGGAGACAGCTCGCAAGCAGGACTGTCCCCAGACAGCGGGACTAGACGCTAACGTCACAGGACAGTGGTGAGATGCTGCTTTTCAGGGTTACCCTAGTTTATAGAACCAGCTAAATACCTTTTAAACACGAGGCAAAGAACAGTTAAAGGGCAGGACGGAGTGAAGCCTGGGTGGAAGGAACAGCCAAGCCCAGGTGGCGGAGGTGACTCGGGGTGGCCTGGTGAATCCAGACCCTGACTGCAGCCCTCACCTTGGGATTGGCCTCCAGGTAATTGTACAGCACGTTGATGGAGATGGTGAGGTCCCCGTTGTTGAAGGGATACGAGCGGTTCCAACCCTGGGCGCCAAACTTGCGTCGCTCAGCCACCACGGCGTGAAAGTAGCACAGGGCGAAGAGGATGCACTTGAACTCTATCTCTTTAGAGCACATGTCTAGCGTGTCCTGCAGGGGACAGGCAGAAGTGGGCAAGTTTGGTTTTTTTTTTTGGTTTTTGGTTTTTTTTAAGTGTTTTGAGTCAGGGTCTCTCTGTGTAGTCCAGGCTGGTCTTGAATTTGTTCTATAGCCCAGGCTGGCCTCAAACTCACAGAAATCCTCCTGTCTCAGCTTCCTGAGTGCTGGGATTACAGACGTGTGCCACTATACCCAGTAGAAAGAGAATTTATAGAGAGTCCCGTTTTTGCCACTTCTTTTTTTTTGTTTTTGTACCAGGAATCAAACTTGGGACCTTGTGCTTGTGAGGCAAGTGGTGGAGCCACTGAGCTAAGTTCCCGGCCCACTGTCTTTGCCACTGTGAGGGGACTGCTCCAATCTGTCCCTCGTCACACCCACCCACTGGTGAAGGCTCAAGCAGAATTGCTTTCCCTTGTTTCTTCCAGACATGCAGTTTTTTCACTTTTAAGTATTTATCACAAGTGAGCCAGGCGTGGTGGCACACGCCTGTAATCCCAGCACTTGGGAGGCTGAGGCAGGAGGACTGCTGCAAGTTTGAGGCCAGCTTGGGCTGCATAGTGAGTTCAGGGCCAGCCTGAGCCACATAGTGAGACCTTATCTAAAAAAAGAAACAAAAACAAAAGAACAGGTGAAATTGATCAAATAAGTCATGTGTTGCACAACAACATTTCAGTCAGTGATAGACTGTGTATGAGGTGGATGTCGAGATTAGGGCTCGGGTAAAGATGCTGTGCTGTCGTCACATGGCAGCTCAGGAGTGATGTGCATTGAGCTGATGCTGGCACAGAAACACCTGTGCTGCTTGTCGTATGAAAGCTGAGCTCGTGCAGTTACGTATGTGCATATTTGATAATGACAATGAACAACTGTGTCGTTGTGCTCTGTGTGTGGTGCTGGGGGTGGAGCCCAGGGTGAGCGCTCCACACGGAGTTATCCTCCCAGCCTGTACTACATTTTTTATTCTCACTTATTTATTTACTTATTTATGCAGTAATCAATCTGGGGATTGAACCTAGGCCCTTCACACTGAGGTACATATTCGGAGACAGGGTCTCCCTAAGTCACTAAGTCGCCCAGGCTGTGAGCTTGGGATCCTCCTGCCTCAGTCTCCCAGAGTGCTGGAAGTACAGGTGTGTGCCACCATGCCTGGTTTATTATTTTAGAATGTACTCCTCCACTCCTGCTTTTTTTGTTTTGTTTTGTTTTGTTGGTACCGGAGATCGAACTCGGGATCTTGCGCTTCGAGGCAGGTGGCAGAACCACTGAGCTAAATCCCTGGCCCTCCTGTTTTTGTTTAAGTAGTCATCTGGGAATGGCGGAGCACTGCAGTCCTGGCACTTAAAGGACCCATGCTGGCGATGGGTGAAGATGAACTGGCAGCCTCCCTGTCCCACCCCAGTCTGCCACCTGCCGAGAGACGCACACAACGTGCAGTACGAATGAAATGCCCTACTGCCGCAAAAGTCCCTAAATGTGTCATCTCATCGCTGTACTGACCTCATTACAGACTGGGCCTGACCTGGGCCCCTGTGAGCCACCTTGCCCCTGGCACCAGGTCCACGCAGGGCCCTTTGTTGCCCTGGATTCCCACTGCACACCCCTCACCACACTCTGGTCAGACATCTGCCGTGTGGCCTGATTGTCACTTGTTCCCTGTCCCTGCAACATGCTGGGCATAGGTGTTGACTGGAGGGACAAAGGCACAAGAGACCCACTTCTGACATCTGCTTTTCTGCCTTCAGTTTGACAATGTGTGTCCTTCCAAGTGGGTCAGGAATCGCTAGTGGATGGCTCAGAATTCTCTTGTAAGGACCTGTTAATGTTAAGCTGTATAAAGAAGTTATGCATCCTGGGCTCAGTGACCTCAGTAGGTAGATCTTCGTTAGGGTGACAGGAGAATAGTGTTGAAACTTCAAAAAGATCTAGGCTTACAAGGGAGACGGGTGTGTGCTCACAGAAGGTTGTATGAGGTGTGATGGAACAATACGGTGAGTGCTTAAAAAATTATTATAGTAAAAGACACATGGCCACGAATCCCTCTCAAGACACCCCCACACCCCCCGCTTTGAACACACTCATCCCATCCTTCTTGCCACTTTCCGAAGCAGGTCTGGAATTCCTCTTTCGTGAGTGTCTTCAGTTGCACTGTTGTGGCTGCCTCCATGTCCCAAATCTATTTAAAATGTTTTCCTTTCATGGCCGTTTTGACTTTGAGGAAGAACCAGAAGTTGCCCCATGCCAGATCTGGTGAGTAAAGTGGGTGAGGACGTGCTGTAATATTTTATGAGCTGGCCTTTGTGTTGGATGGCACTTGGCAGCAGCATTCACTGTATTTTTTTTTAAATCACTCCTCATAAAGGTGCTCATGATAAAGGACTTCCAGAACAGCTTCAGAAAGTGGCAAGGGCGATGGGGTAAGTGTGTTCAAAGCAAGGGGAACTATTTTGAGGGTTAATGACAGTATGTCTTTTACTTAAAGCATTTAAAAAAAAAAATTCACCGTATGTTTTGATCCCCAGTGGAAAATGAGGACGTGCCCACAGGATAACACAGTTGCAAAAGCAGCCATCTGTGGCAGGATGGGTGGGGAGACCACAGAGAGGGGGCGTGGGGTGCAGCCTCAAGGATTGTGAGCTTCCAGTGGGAGGAAGGGTGAGCAGACTCCAGGCGGAAGCAGTGGCGCAGGAGACCTTCCAGGCAGGCCTGGTGATCCCGGAGCTGTGATGCCAGGCACGCTCAGGCCTTTGCCCTCCACCCTGTCCCTGCAGGCGGCCCCTGCAGTCATGTGGAGGACAGGCTCACTGCGGCGTCCTTCCTACCGATGGCGGGGATGGGAGAGGGGACCCAGGGTGAGGACACCGGGCCCAGGTGGGGACAGCATCGCCTCCAGCGTGGCGTGGGGTGCTGTGGGCCATCGCCTGAAGTTGGCCTTCATCCCAGCATCACACCTCATGAGGGTGGCAATGGCTGTGCCTCGGGAAAGCTGACTGACCCCAGGGAGCCACCCGCAGGAGAGGGGCAGCGACTAGCTCACGGTTCCCAGGATTCACCCGCACCGGTCGGGAGGGTTGGAAAACTGTTTCCACTCGATAAAGACGTCAGTAATCACAGCCTTTCAGAAACATACTGTGGTGGACGGTGTGTGTACAGGGTGGCGTGGATGGCAGGACACCAGGCTGGAGGGGTCCCCCGAGCTCAGAGGTGACACCCTGGGCCTGGGGCGGACGCTGGGCTCAGCGCAGGGCACCCTACCTGGGTGAAGAGGTCCAGGGCCTTGTGCAGGTTTGCGTGCATGCCCGTGGGCGGCTCGTTGGTGATTTTGATGGCATTTTCCAGGATGCCCTGGGGGATGATGTGGGATTCGGGGCTGGGCGCGGGCTCGGCACTGATGAACACGCGGTAGTTGTAGTGACTCCCCATGCTGTATTGCTCCACCTTCTTATCCAGGGTGCTCAGCCACCGGGCCACCAGGTGGATGTTCTGCAGCCAAGGCCAGGGGTTAGTGCTCCACTCCAGGCCTGCGAGGAATGGCCACTGCGTCCCGCTCCGGGCACAGACTGAGCTCTTCCTGGTGGCACCCCCACTGCTGCCCACCCTCGCCAGGTGTGGGCGTTGAGATATTTCCATTAGTTCTTGTGCTCGGTTATTTCAAAGCCTCCAGCCTTGTGGTGAGTCCTCCGCATCCTCCCTACACTAAGGCTGGGATCACCTGGTCCCCAGCCCCACTTCTGGGGGCACCCTGGAAGGGCACCAGGGCGAGGAGGGGTACTTGTGCCCGGGTCAGACCAAAATGTGGTACAGCACACGTCCCGGGGCCTGTGGCCCTTGCTACCTGCCCCAAGCACCACCCCTAGGGATGGTTTTGTTGGCTGAGGATTTTGTTTTGGGTTTTTTTTTTCACTTCAGCTCTGGCTGTGGATTCCAGGGCCTTCACACAGAACTATACCCAGATGGGCCTGAACTTGGGATCCTCCTGCCTCAGCTTCCCGGAGCGCTGGGGTGACAGGCATGCAGCTCATGTTAGGGGTTCGCTGGTATAGAGTCATCTGTTCTCCCACCTGGGTGGCCTTGTGCCCCTACCCCAAGCTGACCTGGGCCCAGTTGTTTCGGGTCTGCTCCCTCCTGCAGGGGCTGTTAGATCCCCACTCACATTTTCTTGCAAATCCCCGAAATAAGTTGCTTCCTTTTGGGTTCCAGCCCCAAGGCTGCTGTGGTGAGGGAGCCTCACCTGCAGAATGACCCAGTGCCCGTTCTTGGCAGCCACATCCAGAGCGTTCTCGGCCACCATCTCCTGCCCCTGCCCCAGGGACACATTGTGGAGTTTCCCATTGTCTATGGTAAATCCCAGTTTTTTTCCTAAAGAAAGGAAAAACAGGAAAAGCACAGAGATGATTCAATGACAAAGGTTCCAGCTGTGCCGTCCACGGCCGGGAACTCCACACGCATCCCCATCTTGTTTACAATGGGGAAATACACGTCACTTCAAGCTCACCATTTCATACCATCTCAGTGACATTTAGTGCTCTCACCATACGTATTGTGCAACTGGCTGCCGGGCTCCGGGGTGTCTTCACGGCTCCGAATCCTCACGCCTGTTAGGCAATTGTTCTCCGTGCCCCTCCCCAGCCCCGGTGTCAGCCAACCCATTTTCTGCCCCGTGGACATTTCATATAAATGGAATCACAGTCTGAGGCCTTTGTGTCTGGCTTCTTTTAACTGAGCATAATGTCTTCAGGGTACATCCATGTTGAAGCATGTGTCAGAACACTGTCCCTTTTTATGGCAGAATAACATCCCGCAGTGCAGCTATTCTACATCTGCTTACCCCTGCATCAGTTGGATATCTAGGTTATTTATGTTACCTTTTAGTTCCTGTGAGTACATATTTATGTCACACACTTGTTTGAATATGTCTTCTTCTGGGGAGGGGGTAGGGTGCTGGGAACCAAACCCAGGGCCTCCTGCACACTGGGCGAGGGCTTTACCATTGAGCTACACCTCCAGCCCCTGAATACTGTGTTCCCAGGAGTGGAATGGCAGGGTCACAGAGTCATTCTGTGTGTAGCTCATGGAGAAACTGCCAAACTGTTTCCCACAGCAGCTGCACCATTTCATATTCCTGTTAGCAGTGTGCTTGGCTTTCAGTCTCTCCACACCCCTGCCAACGCTTGTTCTGCTTCTGGTCCAGCTACCCTATGGGGTGTGTGCTGGTGTCTCACAGCAGTTTGGATTTGCCCTTCCCTGGCGATATCCACACATGCTCTCCTCTGGAGGATGTCACCGGCCCTCGGCACTTACCCAGGGCTTCCACGTCTTTCAGGGGGTCCACCCCTGGGGAAAGGATGAAGAAGATAGGGGTGGACGGGCTGCTCTCCTCATAGGACTTAGGAAATTCAACGCTCCAGCCTTCCACAAACTTGCTGCCCATCTTCTCCTCCACAAAGTTCCTGCCGGAGATGTGCACCGTTAGGCCTGAAAGCTGTGGAACCCAGAGTTTGGGGGCAACCCCAGACCTTCATGGGTCCATAATAAGCTAATGTGCAGGTGCGGAAAGAAACGGCCCAAGCAGAGACACCTCTGGCAAAGCTGTTCTCGGGCTTTCTTCCTGCAGCAAGAGGACTGTGTGTGCTTTCTCTGCCGTGGCTGTATGTGTCATGGGCACATGGTTTCTGAGCTGCCCAAGCAGCTGTACTAGGAGAAGCCCTCACCCTGCCAGGGCACACAAGGTCGACTGGGGATGGGGGCGGGCAGGAAGGAAATTCAACTTAGAGCGGTGCTGCTGAGGCCTCGGCCCCACAACACGGGTCACCAGACCTGTTGGAGAAAAGAGGTGCCTGGGACACAGAAGCCCCTCTGCCCAGCCCTGCAGCTCTGTCCAACTGCATCTAGAGTCAGTCCAGGCTTCAGATAATCCTCTAGGAGGAAGTGGAGTCCCGTTCTGGCTGATTCCGGATTTCAGGTATCTGCCGCCTCCCTTGCTCACAGGCAGCTGAGCTCACTCCATTCTGCCATCCAGCCCAGGCCTAGACTGACCGCTGGCCGTGTCTCCAGGCTAGGAACCTGCTCCTCGGAGGCAGCCTGAGTGCTCTGGGGGTCCGGGAGCACTTCCGGCACCGCCGGTCCCTTGAATTCGCCCATCTGCTCCAGCCCCTCCCCTGCTTCAGGGAAGATCTGGGGGCTCTGCCTTCCCGCTCGCTGGGGCCTTCTGGGCACCTGGATCTGTTACTCATTTCCCCGCTCTGGTCTTCTGCAGGTTCTATAGTTTCCTGCACCGACACTGACTACAGGTGGGTGGAGAGAGGGGAGTCGCTCTCCCTGAAGCCCCGGATCCTGTCAGCCAGACATTTGGAATAGACTCACAAGGCAGATGTGATGACCCTGGGCCACAAAGGGCCTTCCAGGATATACTAAGCCCTGCACCTGGGCAGGGGTGGAACTGAATCGCCTTTGTTAATTACCTGGCAGCCAGTGGGGAATTGGTGGTGCTGAGTGAGGGTACACACCCGAGCACCGGCCCACACTAAGCCTTCCAGGGTGGGCGGAGGTTCCTGCTCCATGGTCTGTGCCCTCCTGGGGCCTCTCCCAAACCGTGTCCTGGGCTTCTGGACGCTGCCCTGCTGTGTCCCTGGACCAGCCCAGCCCTCCTGAATGATGGTGAGCTCTTGTTTCTTTTCAGCCCCACCTTGCCCACCGCTCCTGGCTTTTTTTCCTCTCTTCCATCCGAGGAAAACAGAGCAAAACAAAAAGTCAGTGAATAACCAGTGGGTGTGAGTCAGGGCCCTGCTTTGTCAGAGGGGAATTCTGTTAGGGCCATGAGTGCCTTTTGGGAACTCTGGCCGCATTCATGCTGCTGGGAAAGCTGAAAAGGAAAGAAGCCATCCCCGCCCAGGCCCTGAGCGTGGGCCCTGGGCTCGGGCCGTGTGAACCCCCGCTGCCCCTAGAAGTGGCCATCCTTCCAGGATGGAAGGGGTCAGGTCATTTGCAAAGGAGCCGCAGCAGACATCCACAAAAGACAGATGTTAAGGGCGGCCACCGAGGGGTGAGAAGTCCTCAAGCGCTGAGGGATTTGCCACTTCTGCATTGGCGTGAGCATGAGGACACGAACTTTGCTGTCAGTCTCGAAGGCTTGCGTGGGAGTGGGCTGTCCCCCATTAGGGTCAGTTGGGGCCGGGGTCCCCCTGATCGTACTCCAGACAGGGAAGTTAGTGAGAGCTCAGGGTCATAGGTTGGCTACCAAAGATGAACGTGGGTCAGAGGGCCTTGCTGCCGTCCTCTGTAAAACGGGGTTAGAAAGCAGCCTGAGGGACGACTGGAAGCCTTCAGGGTACCCGGCCCAGGGCCCCATGGCCTTGTCGCTTCCATCCCTCGCCTGCGCCCAGGACACTCACTTGATGGCGTAGGTCATGCGGTCTGGCCGCAGGCACCGCATCATGCAGAGCTTCTGTAGGGCTGTCTTGTTCTTCCACTCCTTTGGGAAGACTTCCTTCTCTGGGGCCTCCGACTCCACCAGCTTCTTCCACCGCTTGGCAGACCCTTCAATGTCATTGTCCAGGTTCTTGAACTCATCCATCTCCGCCAGGGCCTAGGGCAGAGGTGGCAGTGGGGGCACCTTCCCGACTCCCCTCAGTTCCCTGAAGAGAGGCCATGGCCTCCAGAGGAACCCAGGGCTCTGAGTGGCCTGTTGCTAAAACAGTGACCATCACTCGTATCAACTGCAGGCCTGGCCTCTGTGGGAGGAGTCCAGCCTGGCCGTGTGGCTTTGCGCCTTTGGACAGGCTCTGGACAAAGCCATTCTGTCCTGGGCACTACTTTCATCAGGCAGGGACCTAGCCATGTCCCTCAGCATGAACGCAGGGCCTTCTGGGAACTGGCAGCCGCCCATCCACCCTCCATCCCCTTCTGTGGTCCCCTGGCTTTACTGAATTTTATGGAGGCCCCAGATCCTTGTAATCTGGCCTTGCAGACATCCTCAGCCCTGGCCAAAGAGGCTCCACAGCAGGAAGAAAGGACGCAGAGCTGGAGTTTGAAGACTCACCTTGATCCCGCCCCAGCTTTGGTGCTGCAGGAAGTCCACTGGTGAGACGACCCCAGCCTTGAAAGGGAAGCGCAGGAGGAAGTCCAGCTCCACCGGGTTCAGCTCTTTCTTCATGGACAAAACCTGAGGGAAGGTGAGGTGACGCTCGGTTTGGCCCCCAGGCAGCAGCACGGTGGGTGGGGGCTGTCAGTTATTATTGCCCTTGAGATGAGTCTCCTTGTGCACTGGATCCAGGAAGAGGGGAGGAGTTCACGCTGCCCTTGGCTTGGGCAGGACTTGGTCCTCCCCTTCACTTTGTGTTTTTAAATTGGAGTAAACACAAAGCTTATCGTTTTAATCATATTCAAGCCCACGACTTGGCGGCACAATCTGGTTTTAGAACCTTTCACTGCTCCAGCAGGAAACCTCTCCTTAGCCAGCTGCCCCCATTCGCCTGCCCCCAGCCCCTGGCCACCTCTGGTCTACTCTCTGTCTCTTTGGATTTGCTTCATACATGCCTTTTGCACCTGGCTCTTGTTGAGACTCGTCTCTGTCACAGAGTATGGGTCAGAATTTTGTTCCTTTTTAAGACTGAGTAACATTCCACTGTGGGGCACACCGCACTGCACTGTGTTTCTCCATGCATCTGCCCAGGGAGTGTTGGCTTACTTGGGCTATGTGAATCATTTGGCTTTTGGCTGGGTGAATAATGTGGCTGTGAATGTTGGTGGATGACAATCTGGATACCTGAGGTTTCTTTTGTGCATGTTAGCTACACAGACCCATGGGCTTCATTTGAGCATATCCGTACACGCATGTACATGCATGTAATATGCTTGGTTATTCCCTGCCCCATACCTGTTTTGTTTTATATAACAATATATTGTAATAAAAGTTATTCAAAACTCATGAATAATTTGTCTCTGGAATTTTCCATTTACTCTTCGGAGACAGTGGGGAACAGTGGGTCACTGAAACCATGGAAAGTGAAATCACAGGGCCGGGGATTTAGCTCAGTGGTTCTGGCTCCTGCCTTGAAAGTGCAAGGTCCTGAGTTCGATCCCTGGTACCAAAAAGAAAAAAAAAAAAAGTAAAATCACAGCTTAGCAGGGACTCCTGCCCCGTCACCTCGCTTTGCTCTGAATATTGAGTTTCAGGTTTCCCTTCTCATTTTTCCATTAGCTTTTATGAGAGACAAAGGAAGATTTGAAAACTACACTTCAGATTGCCACTGTTGTCCCAGAATTTAATTTTTTTTCTATTGAGGTAATATTTACATACAATTAAACAACCAGTTCTTTTAAGTGTTGAGTTTTTAAAATTTGAGACAAGGTCTCACCAGGTAGCCCAGGGTGGCCTTGAATTCAGGGAGATCCTTCTGCCTCATCCCCCTGAATGCTGGGATTACAGTCAGGTGCCACCACACCCAGTTTCAGTGTTGATTTTAGGGTTAATTTTAATGTTAATTTTAATTTAATTTTGACTTTCGCCAGTGGTTGCACGGGGTAACTCACCACTGTGCCAGACAAGATTCAGGACATTTCCATCAGCTTAGGAAGTCCGGCGTCCTCTTCATCAATCTCCCCGTCCCGGAGGAGGCGGTCCCATTCTCCCCTCTATCTTTCGAGATTGAGTCACCCATTCTGGACAGGGCTCCGCGTGGACCCCATGGATTCCCACGTCTGGCTCCTTACGTGCGGAGAGGTCTGTAAGATTAACTTGTACTGCTGTGTGTGCCAGTCCTTTGCTGTTTTACTGCTTGGTATCCATAGTACGCACGCATCACAGTTTCATGCCTGTTTTTAGATCTTCTGGATATATACCCTGGAATGAAATTGCTCGGTCCTGTTCTCTACCATCTTGTCACTTGTATGTGGCTGCTCCCTGGGTCCCCAGCCCCTGGTCTGGGTCATTTTGCAGTGGCTTTTCTGGGGCAGCCAGCGGGCACCCCCAGCCTCGGCTGGGTGCAGCCAGAGTCAGGTGCCCAAACAGGCCCTTTGTTCAGGCCCTGGAGGGAGTTTCTTCCATGTCAGGCTCTTCTTTTGGTCAAACAAAAATGTGTTTCTGGGGGCCAAGGAGAGAGCCTCCTCTCCCAGCAAATTAAAGGGCATGCTGAAGACCTCTGAGGGTTTTTTTTTTTTGGTACCGGGGATCGAACTCAGGTCCTTGTGCTTGTGAGGCAGGCGGCCAGAAGCACTGAGCTAAATCCCCGACCCCCTCTGAGGATTTTTTTAGCAGCAGGAAAACTCAGTGAATGTGTGAGTCAAAGGCTCAGAGACAGGAGAAACCTCCACCCTGTGGACTCCCTGGCTCCACGTGTGAGTTTGGACTCAAAGCTAGGTTTGCCCTGATCCCCACGGTACCTGTACCCACAGCTGTAACACGGTGTAAACAGGATCACAAAGGGGTGTTTTGTGGTTTGGCTGTGAACCCGAGAAACACGGGCTGAACTTGTTCCCCAGCGTGGCAGTGGTGACTGGGCCGGGAGGGCAGCGTGAGGCTCACACCCTTGTGAAGGAAGCAGTGTCCTGATAAAAGGGGACGTTGCCCCTTCTCCCTCTTTCAGTCTCTCATCTCCCACCCTGAGAGCATGTGGTAAGAGGCCTTGCTGGATGCTGGTGGTTTCATCTTGGATTTCCGGACTCCAGAATCATGAGGAATACATTTTTATTGTCTGAGGTATTCTAAGAGTAAGACAAGCTGATTGTTTTGGAAACAAGGTCTTGCTGTGTTGTCCAGGCTGGACTTGAACTCATGGGCTCACGTGACTCTTAGCCTCTCGAGAAGCTGGGATTACAGATATGCACCATTATGCCTGGCCGAGATAGGCTTTTTAACCCATTTATGTATTATTTTTCTTTTTAATCAATTTAATGAAATATAAATCTTTAGTTCTGCAGGACTGTATAAACAGGAGTAAAACTATTACTTCTTATAGCATGCATACATTTGCTTTTCTTTAGGAAATGTCCCTTTGCTGGGTATGGTGGCACTCAGGAGACTGAGTCAGGAGGATGGCGAGTTCAAGGCCACCCTGGACTATGTAGTGAGACCCTATCTCAAGAATAAAACTATTACTTCGTATCCACAGTGGGCTAAGCACCAATGTAGGCCTACTTACTCAGCGCTGCTTAAATGTAATGAAATGACATTTCTTTGTAAAACCCTCTTTACCTGACCCTGCCTCAGTCTCTCTGGGAAGACGTTGCCTGTTTCCTGAATGTACACGACACAGACCGCAGGTGTGCTCTGCATCAGGCCCCTCAGCCTTTATGGTCACCTGGGAATCTTGCTAACATGCAGGTTTGGATTCACCGGACCCGAGCAAAGGGCTTGAGAACTTGCACCTCCCACGGACTCCCGAGGACCCCCATGCTGTTGGTCCACAGGGCACACCCTGGACGGTGAGGCGAGACCTTACCTGGAACGTAACTTGGGCCAGAAAGATGAGTTTGTCCCGCTCGAAGAGCCCCTGGGCTGTGTACATGAAGACGGAGTAGGTGATCTCGTCCGTCAGGTTGATCACTCGCTGCTTGACCTCATCCGCGGGGGTGGTCTTCTGGATGGCTTTCTCGAACACCACGTTGAAGGCCTAGGGAAGCAGTGTGAGCGAGCTGGCTCTGTGGCCCCTGCCGTGTGCTGACTGGGACTCGGGGAAGACAGGGTGGGGGTGCCGGCCCTGGACCGATCTGGCGCCCTGGCTCCCCTCCGTCCCGAATGGAGCTGCTCTGCCCTTGGTTGGCACCGCCCCAAGGCCCCTGTGAACACCAGGCCGCTCAGGGGCCACCGACCTTGAGTGAGAACTGGTAGATGGGGTTGATTTTGTTGAGGTCGTTCAGGATGAAGTAGAGCAGGGATGCCCGCTCCGCGGCAGGGCGGTAGTTCTCCCTCGCCTCATTGATCTTCATTTCTGTGATTTTTGCCTCTTGTACCTCAAAACGAACAGAAGGGACGTGGGTGAAACCAGCAGGCAGACAAGCCTCAAACAGGTGGCCCCAGCCCACCCGAAGCCCTTTGCTCTGAGGGGACCCTCTGCAGACAGAAGGGTGCCAGCTGGGTCTGGCCCCTTCTCCCATCAGCCCCCTCGGGGGCTCCAGTGGCCATGGCCTCTTCCTGCCCATTGGTGCAGGCTCCTCACAGCCGAGCTGCCAACCTTCCATGTGCTCTGGCCAGGCCATGTGGCAGCCATGGGCCAGCCCTACCTTCTCCTCGATCTCGCTGGCCATGTGTTTGGTGGTCTCCAGGTTCTCTACCAAAGCAGCGTCTCCCAGAAAGTTCCCCGACGCAGCCGACAGACGGGTCAGGAGAGAGTCTTCCAGCTCCTTCAGGACAATCTTGAATTCATTCTGAGATTGGGTGAGGTTTGCCTGTGGGGGCAGCAGAGGCCCGGGGAGCACAGTTAGTGGAGCCTGGCCTTCCCTTGCCCTCCTGGGCACTGGGCCTCCCTGTAGCTGCGGTGTGGACCCTGCCAGCTGGGCTTCAAAGGAGAGGAATGACACCCAGCCTGCAAGGGCACCAATGGACCTGGGAGCCCAGCGCTGTGGAGGAACAAGAGATAGGCGAGCGGGATGCCTCTGAGGCCCGTGTGTGACCGAGACAGAGCTGGGAATGTGGCTGTGGCATGGGTGGCTGCAGAGCATCCTCCTGGGCAGGACCCTCCGAGCTGCCCAAGAACTGCTGTGAGCCCTGGCCTTCAAGGGCAGCTGTCATTGATTTGGGAGCTGAAAGAAGGGACAGCTAGGAAAGAAGAAATGACTCCTTCTGTTGGACAAAGATACGGTGCAGCACAATGAGCTGGGGCTCCTTCAGAGAGAAGCAGTGAGATGCACGGGGCCACCTCAGCGCCCAACTCGGGGCCACCCCTCAGGGCTGTTACCTTCAGCTGCTCCAGATCCGGGCGCTCTTTGGCCACCACAGTGGCCAGGAGCTGGTCCTCGAGCCCATCTCTGGTGACCAGGAAGTTGATGAGGGTGCACTGGGCTTGCATCTCGGGCTTGTAGTGTGGGTTGAAGTACTTGGTGTGCAGGATCAGGCGGAAATTGGGGTGGTACTCCACCTCCTTGTCGCCGATCTTAATGTACCTGGCAGGGAGGGAGCACAGGTGAGGCGAAATCAAGGGACAGGGCCACCTGCATACCACTTGGTGCCTGTCCCCAGGCTGGCTACCCCAGAACCCTGTGCTGGTTGCTGGGCAAACTGCAGCTCTCCTTGGGGTGACACGGGGTGTGGCCCTCTGGAGGCTCCATGTGTCCTCTCCTCTGGGGGACCCATCATCCGTCATCCACCGTGGCATTTGTTCAACTGTCTGCACAGTGCTCTCCTGGGAACCTCGACAGAAGAGCTCTGCCAGGCCCCGCCCCAGATTCAACTTAGACCACCCAAGCACTCTGGACGCTGGAAGCCCAGGGCCGCAGATCCACTGAGGTGGAGGCTTCTGTCTGGCACTGCCCTGCTCTTTCCTGATTGAGCTTATCTTTGGGATCCTTTGTCTAACTGCACACACTGGGTACCAGCACTCATGCCCCGGCCTTCTCGGAGTCTAGGGCATCAGCATATTTACCTGCCCCTCTGGCCTGGACTTTTCCCGTGGCCCTACACTGAAAGGTGCCTCAGTGCTGACATTTACATTTTTACATGATTTAACGTTTTCTTTTCTTTTTGGTACTGGAGATCGAACTTGGGGCCTTGTGCTTGTGAGACAGGTGCTGGAACCACTGAGCTAAACCCCCAGCCCTTTTCTTTCATTTTTAAATTAAAAAATTTTTCTTTGTGCCACTGGGGATTAAATCCAGGGTTCTTTGCACTGAGCTCCATCCCCAGCCACTTTTACTTTTAAAATTTTAACACAAGGTCTCAGTAAATCACCCAGGTTTGGTTTGATTTTGTGATCCTTCTGCCTCAGCCTCTCAGAGGGCTGAGGCATGCACTGCTACACCCAGCTACGATATACATATTATAAAAGCAATACAAGCTTAGAGCATTGACTGGTAAGAACATTATCCGGGCATATAAAAAAAGGGAAACTGATACTTATTACAACATGAATGAGCCTTGAAAACATAACGCTAAGGGTAAAAATCCAGACATAGGAGACACGTATTGCAAGCTGGGACATCACGGTGCCCCCTGTAATCCCAGGTACTTTTGGAGGCTGAGGGAGGAGGATCAAAAGCTCAAGCCCAGCCTGAGCAGGTTAGCAAGATCCTATCTCAAAACTGGAAAGTAATGAAAGGGCCAGGGATGTAACTCTGTGCAAAGACCCTAGGATCGGCCCCTAGTACTGCAAAAACCAACCAAACAAACACAAGCACTTGGGAGGCTGAGGCAGGAGGATCACTGTGAGTTTGAAGCCAGCCTGGGCTACACAGTGAGTTCAAGCCCAGCCTGAACTACATAGCAAGACCCTGAGTTAAAACAAATGAACAAATAAACACACAGATACTGCATGATTCTATGTGTATGAAATGTCTAGAATGGCCAGAATCACAGTAGCAACCTGAGGCAGATCAACAATAGTTGCTTAGGGCTTGGGAGGGAGGATGCATGGAGACTGACGTTTGATGGGTACAAGGTTTCTTTCTGGGGCGATGAAAAGGTTGTGGAACTAGATGGGTGATGATTGCACAATATGTACTAAATGCCACTGAATCGGACACTTTATTATGGTTAATTTCACCATAATTTAAATCACGAAATACAATCTCAAGATTTACAAACTGCATAAGAAAAGAAAGAAGGAAAGCACGCCTATGGCACGGCAGGATAGACGCCTCACTGTGAGCGGGGTTCTTTCCAGCCTCCCTCAGGCCTGGAGTCCCTCACCCCCTCCGCACCGCATGTTGGCAAGGGCCTGCAGTTTCCCAGGAAAGCAGAGGGAAGTCTGAGCCGCTCCTCCGCCCACACACCCAAGCCTCCACATGGGCGTGTTAACCCAGGTTAAGCCCAGAGGCGGAAACGACTCACTTTCCCTTTTTTATTGTGTTCCTGCCCAGTAACGGGTCCAGTACAGGGTCCACGCTTTCGCCAATATTCTCGATAAGCAAGATGTCCCCTGCTGAGATGGCCTGCTGGATGATGTCCAGGTAGCTATGGGGACAGCACAGAAGCCAGTTCACAACAGCGGGCCCAGGGTGGGAGCCCTGCCTGCCCTGGAGGTGGCCCCAGTGACGGGGTGGAGAGGTCACCACTGAGCCAACCGCTCATCCTTCCCTGCAAGGAGTTGGAGCCCTTCTTAAGCCACCCCATGCTCTTAGGAGACTGGAAGTAAAAACGGGAGCCTCCCCATCCACGTTCCAGTCTTGTGTGCTGGTCCAACAGACTAGGAAGGCAGGCAGGGCTGCAGCTGTTGCTTCCCACCCGGAAGGTGGATGGGCACCACAGGAGAGAGGAGAAAATGATCAGCCTGAAGCCTCTAGCCACCAGTGGAAGAGCAAGCTGTGAGCTGGTCCAGTTCCCTTCCTCTGCAGGGGCAGCAGTGACCAGGAAGAGAGGGGGCCCTGGTTTGATTCTATAGTGCTGGTGCGGTCCACCCAGACCAGATTTTTAATCCTGTGCTGTATTCGTGTGCCGAAGTTGTGTCTGCAGGCACGTCAGCCAGTTTTACACTGCCTCCCAAGCCCCCGATTCTGCCCCTGGCACACACCTCTTCTGTCCCAGGCGGATGGCTTTCAGTTCACTCCCGTATTTGCTTTTGATCCACTTGATCCCTTGCAGCTGGGCATCCACAATAAGGGGCCAGCGCTCTGTGTTGCACAGGATGGTGGCATTCTCGGTGGACATGCGGTCACTGGGGAGGCCCTGGTTGTTCCAAGAGGCCACATCTGCGTCATCCGTCAGCAGGCTCAGGGGATCCAGGCCTTCTGTGATGGGGATGGGGACCTGCCGAGTGAGGGAGGGCACTGTCATAGAAGGGCAGTGCGCCCTAAGCACCCGATGGAAAGCAGCTCTCGAATGCCACCACAGCCTATGTTAGAAGCTGGAGGAGCCCACGTGATCGGGGAGCAAACAGCCCTGGTATCTGAAATGGCAGCTTTGTAACGCAGCCAGGAATGTCTCCCCCAGCAAGATGGGCCTTTCTAAGCCCTGGATGGGCCAAGCCTCTGCCTCGAAGTGAGGGTGCAGTGGAACTGCTGCCCTGCTGGGGACCCCCCACTTTCCCGAGTTATGAACAGAGCTGTACTTCTTACCTTTAAGTTATTTATGTAAGGGACCCAAAATTTATCCATCAGTTCACTTCGGTAGTTCTTGGTGAAGTAGCCCACGTAGGAGACAAAGGCGGAGACCAGCAGGACGTTCCCACACAGCGTTACCCCCTGGCTTTTGAAGTTCCCCACCGACTCGGCCCAGCGGACGTTTTCTGAAGCGAGTCCTCCCACCAGCCTGAAAGAGGAGTGAGGACACGGCTGGGGGGCTGGGCGGGCCAGAAGACCAGTGCTCCGCCTTTAAATGGGTCCTTGCCAGGGCTCCTGCTCAGCAGTTAATATGCTGGGCCGGAATCAGGAACGCTGTGGCCCCCGGGTCATCTGCGTCCATGTCCTGTCCACACTGCCTCTGAGCCTTTCACCCACAGCCTGAGGCTGCTTCCTGGACACACCTGAGCCCATGCTTGGCTCACAAGTGGTGGTGTCCAGGTGGGGACCATGGCGGGGAGCACCTGGCCCTGCGTGTGTATCCTACTCAGCAGGCCACCGGCGTGAGTCTGGTCCCTGACCCTAAATGTGCACCATGAGTATGAGCAGAATGTTCAGCGTGTTGAGTGTCGCTGCCTGGCACACACAACTGGGAGGTGTTGGTAGTGCCACCAGCAGCCCTGACTCCCTAAGGACCTAAAGTCCACTCCGATATCCTCCCAGGCAAGGTCAGCTCCCCCCACTTATGGCAGGGTGTGTCTGCACCACCCTGAGGCCGAACCCAGCAACCAGGTTCCCAGGTCATGCTGACCACAGACCAGTCACTGGCCACCAGCCCACTGGGGAGGAGCAGATCCAGGAATGAGCTGGAAGCTGGCCGTGGTGGCACACCTCCCACTGTGGAGGCTGAGGCAGGAAGATTACAAATTTGAGCCCAGCCTAAGGGGCTTAGTGACTTAGTGAGACCCTGTCTCAAAAGAACAGAAAAAGTGCTGGGAACATAGTTCAGTGTAAAGGCCCCTCAATCCCCAGTACCACAAAATAAAATAAAATAATAAAACAGAGCAAAACAGGGCCAGGATGTAGTTCAATGCAAAGGCCCCAGGTTCAATCCTCTAAGCAACCAAACAAAAAAAGTGTCGAAATTTCATCTGCTGGAAGTCTGCTTTCAGCTAAAACGGACTTACCAGAACTGGATTTATCCTCTTGCCTACTAAAGAAACAAAGCTGGGTGTGGTGGCACCGTGTGCAATCCCAGCATTCAGACAGGCCGGGCAATTTAGTGACTTAGAGAGACTGATCTCGAAATAAAAAAATAGAAAAAGGGCTGGGGATGTAGCTCAGAGGGAAGGCCCTGGGTTCAATTCCTAGTAAAAAAACAAGTGGAAAAAAAAAGGATCTGGGCCTAGAACTAACTCTGCCAGTGCCCTGCCAAGGCCCCAGGGCTCAAGCTCCAGGTGCCAGACCGCCAAGGGGAGCGTTCTGCACATGAAATTCTCACTGGATTTCAAGGGCTAGGGACAAAAACAAGCACCTAAAATAGCTCACTGATAGTTTTTACACTGACCATACAGTGAAATGAGAAAATTCTAGATATTTCTGAACTATACAGCAAGACCCTGTCTCACACACACACAGAAAAGATATACATATATATACATATACAAAATCAATTTCACTTGTTTCTTTGTCTTTTTTTTGAGATAGAGTCTCACTAAATTGCCCAGGCTGGCCTCAAACTTGTGATCCTCCTGCCTCAGCCTCCTGAATAGCCCGGATCCCAGGCCTGTGCTGCTGAACCTAGCTTTTCTTTGTGCTCCTTAAATCACCAGTTCCCGAGTTTTTTTTATACTCTAGACTGGTTTCATGGAAGATAATTTTTCCACGGGCCAGGTTGGTGGTGGTCTTGGAGGGATGCAGAGGAGCACACAAGCTAGATCCCTCAAACGTGCAGTCCAAGGTAGGACCCGAGCTCCTATGAGAATCTCATGTGGCTGTCAAGCCGGCAGGAGGTGGAGCTCAGGTGGTGACGCCAGCCGTGTGGAGCCCAGGTGAGCACAGATGAAGCCTGGCTCGCTTCACGGCTGCTCACTTCCTGCTAGGCAGCCTGGTTCCTAACAGGCCATGGACCAGTACCAGTCCACAGCCCAGGGCTTGGAACCCCTGCTTTACAGGGAGCTGCTGCAAGAGTTAAAAGATGTGAACCCCATTCGACTCCTGGTAGACAGCTCTGCCCTCCTCCTGAATCCGTGATATGAGCCAGCCAGTGAGAGTTCCCTGGCTGGGAAATACTAAGAAATAACCCAGAAAGCCTGTGCCCCATACCGCAGGGCTTACACAGGACAAGTAAAGTACAGTTGGCCCTCACTGGCCATGGGTTTAACCCACTGCAGGTGGAAAATATTCAGAAAAAACTGCATCTGTCTGGAACATGCACACCATTTCCTTGTCATTGTGCTCTGAACAACACAGTGTGACAACTGCATGCCTAGCATTTTTATGGTGTCAGGGAATGTAAGTCGTCTAGGGGCGGTCTGAACCCTAGGGGAGGGTTGCGAAGGTTATATGCAAATGTTCTGCCATTTTACACCAGAGCCTTGTGCAGCTGCAGTTTGGTATCTGTGGGAGGCCCTGGAACAGCTCCCTTTCCCAGGATGCCCAGGGACCAGTGTCATCCCTGGAGCACGCTCCTGGGGATGGAGTTCGGGGCTGAGCTGGGTCACTCGGGACTCTGTGGTGTGACAGGCTCACTTTCCTGAGGCTGGCAGAGTGTACGGGGGGGTCCCCACCCAAGATTATCCTAATTACTTTGAGCTCAAAAAGCAAAAGCTGCAACCTGGCTGTGTCCGCATGGGCTCCTTCCTCTTCCTCCCAGGGGTTCTGAGGGGCCTAAGAGACAGGAGAGGTGACCCTGGGGAGGAGCCAGCTACCTGTTAGCCAGGGAGATCACTCTATTGGTGGCATCAGCCTCCTGCTGACACTTGATCTTCTCAGCTGTTGCTTTTTCAAATGCTGATGTTAGGTTGCTCAGGTTGGCACTGAGTTCCTGGAAAATCAAGTCAGAAAGGTCCTGGAATAATGATGCCAGGCATTCCCAGCTCCCGGTGTGTGCTGAGCATGGAATGGCACAGCTTATAAGGGCCCAGTGCCCTCCTGAGCACGGAGGGGTGCGTACCACGCAGCCCCTGGCATGCTCTGGTGCCCACCTCTGCCTGCACTCTCCTGAGCTGCTTAATCATTCACGAGGGCAGGCCGAGCCAACCCATCTGAACAGAGGTATCGATCAGGCAGCATGAGCAAGTGGCTTGGTGTTTTATAGGGCAGTGGGCGAGTAAGCACTTACCGCAATCTTGTTCTTGATGCGGGACAGCTTCTCCTGTGCTTCTGCCAGCTCAGCGTTGGCCTCCTCCAGGGCCTGCCTCTTGGGTGCCACGTTGCAGTAGACTTCGTAGAAGCGGACAATGTTGATGCACCAGGAGCAAAGGCCCGCGGCGGCTGTGGACTTGGAGCGAATGAACTCGGGGTCGAATGTGGGGTTGCCTTGGTAGGGTCTGTTGAGGAAACTGGTGCTGCATGGGCTCTGCCAGGATATGGATCCTGGTTTCAGCCTCCCCTGGATGGCTGGGCATTGTAGGCTGCTGAGCCACGGATGGCAGCAGCAGGACACCAACAGGAAGTGGCAGAACCAGGATTGGCCACCAAGCTCTCACGTAGGCCCCCAGTGTCAGGGCTGTCCTGAGAGCAGCTTGCACAGCAGCCTTGCTGCAGCAGCCTCAGCAGGGGGACCACCCCTTCCTGGGACTCAGGGAGCTCCAGTTCCTCACCCAAGGTGGCACAGAGGCCCCGTCCACCACACCCACTCTGCCACTCACCAGGCAGAGTGGCCAGGCACAGTGAGACCCAAGTTCCCACTGAGTTTGTAGGGAAGAGACATCCAAAAAGGAATGCTAAAGGGACCCAGAGGTGCACCCACCGCTGCAGTGCAGGCCCTCTAGACATACGGGTTTAAAAAGCGATGACAACGTCATCAAATGCAACAAACAGCTGTCGGCAGCAAGAAATGGGAATGGATAATTCAAAATCTTCACTGGACAGTAATTTGAATTTCAGCTGGGAAAGTGGCCAACAAATCTCCCTCTGGTTTCCTGGGTGCTGTGTTTGGGCTGACATTAAAGCGAGTGTGCATCTTTTACACGCGCACCCCATGGGCAGTCTCGCAGGTGGTGTGTGCTGAGGAGGAGACGTTCTTTGAGTCACTGCTTATGATAGCCTCGTGGAAGCGGTCCAAACCCACAACGGCGCAGGAGCTATGATTTGGCCCCAGCCAGGTTAGACCGAAGTTTACAGGTCAAACTTAGGAAGCGCTTTTGTAACATATGCAGAAGTTGTTTTGCTCACAATATGAAGTATAAAATCATTGTGTATTTTGAATATTATTTCAACTATGGAAAACCTGAGAAAAAAGACTGAAAAGAAATATTCCAAAAGTTTTTCTGGACTGGCATGTGGCTCAGTGGTAGAGCACTTGCCTAGCGCATGCAAAGCCCTGGGTTCCATCCCCAGCTCTCCCTGGGGGGAGGAGAGAAAATATACGCATGAAAACATCTTGACAGTGGCAGCACCTCGTGATGGACTTACTGTGCTTTCCTTCTTGCTTTCCCCTTAGACTTCTGCCTTGACCAAAGGGTTGTCAGTAGTTCAGCCCCTCCCTCACAAGGGGCCTGCTGCAGCCATGGGTGTGGCCTTCCCTCTAAAGCAGAGGCAGGTGGCTCCTGAGATCGGGCTGCCAGAGGATGGCCAGACGAGGACCACCAGGGCCTGGGGTGCTCACAGAATGGAAGGGGTGCCTTATGAACGTGAGCTTGTTGAAAGTTATGGGGTAAAATGTGGGATCCCCAGAATGCCCTTACAAGTCCCAAGGGCACCCCAGAGGGAGCCACTGACAGCCCCTGGGGCTCCTTCCAGATGTGGTATCTTCTCATGGGACCAGTGGCAAGAAGGACACACAAGGCCCCAGCTAGTGTAATACACATATGTATGTTTTAATATTGGTGCACGCATGCATGCATGCATGTTATATGAGAATGCACACACTGCATTTATGTGCATGTGTGCACACACGTACATTTTAGCATGTGTACGCATGTATGTGTAGTGTGGATGTGTACCTCTTAGCACACATGCATGTGTGTGCACAGCACATGTGTATGTTTCAGTGTGTGTGTGTGTGTGTGTGTGTGTGTGCGCTCAGTCCTCTGACGGGGACTGGGACCCCAGGGTTCCCGGTTGCAGAGCCTGTGAGCTGTGTGTTCCTGCCGCGGGTGCCGACTAGGGGAGCAGCAGCTTAGATTTCCAGTGCAGGCCTTCCCACCTGCCCCAGCTTGCTCGGGTGGAGGAGACAGAGGGGGATGCGACTCCCCACCGAGGCCGAGCTTTACCTCTACACCCTGATAGCTCAGATAGAAACGCATTTGCCTGGGGTCGCCCACCATTCTTGGATTCCAGCTGGCTCAGTCTGCCCAAGTCCCTGAGCCCCAGGGCAGGGACGCGTCTAGGGGCTGGTCACAGTGGCCCGTAGGAGATCCTGGGCCGAAGTGCCCTGGTGCGTGGAGAACCAGGGTAACTGCAGCCTGGACTCACTTGAATGCTTTCAGGCAGGCCTCGGGGATGTGCTCCTTGTCAAATTTCTTCAGGGAGTCCAGGAAGGTGTCCACTTTGCCCATCATGATCTTCGCAGCCTTCCAGGTCTTGTCCTTGGGGATCTTGCCCCCCGGTGCAGTCAGAGTCATGACGGCAGCTGTCACATTGACCACAGCGTCCGGGGGCGACCCGAAGGACTTCAGCTCCGTCAGGTTGTTCTGTGGAGGACAGGAGCCGCATGAGCCCACTGTCACTGAGCCCACTGATGGGCCAGGCTCCGCCCCTTTCATTTCCTTGTCACCTTATTCAGTGTGTCCAAGGCCTCTTGGGCCGCCAGCAGGGCCGGCTCTGCCTTGGCCAAGTCTGTCTCACAAGCCTTTTGTTTCTCAGTGACGTTCTGGAAGGAGGCCGCACAGAATGGTCAGGGCAGGCCTGTCTGTCTGTCTGTCTGTCCATGGGGGCTGGGCGATGGGGTGAGGAGGGGCTATGGAGGGGAATGAGGGGTGTCCCCCCCAACAGCCAGGGCCCAGCAGCCCTGAACGTTACAGGAGGCCACAAGGCCTTTGCTGCCTGTGCCCCTGCTTCCTCTGCCCTGTCCCTCAGTGGCCGGTTCTCAGGTCATCAGCAGAGGTGGGATGCCGCATTGGGAACCATTCCTTCTACTGGCGCCATCCAGACACAGTGCTGGCTTTGAGGTCATTTCATATCTGAACCATTGCTCGATCTCTCCAAAATGGAGCCCTTCAGAGTGTGCAGCTTATCCTCCCTCTAAGAAGGCAGAGCCTGCCCCTCTGTGCACGTGTGAGTCACTCACTCTCCAGCTCAGGAAGGACCCCGGGAGCCACTGGATGCTGAGCAGAGGGCAGAGGACGCAGGTCTGGGTGACAACACTCACCAGGGGCCCCACAGCGAAGGATTAGGGGATGTCTCTGCAGCCTCCGCCACGGCAGGGCAAAGAACCTCCCTGAGGATCCCTTTCCGCACCCTACTTTGGTGGAACCCGACTAAGGGAATGGGACGTGGGAGGCACTCAGCCAGCCAGCGGAGAGGGGTAGCACCCCGCTCTCTGCCCTGGAGCATCCCCGAGTTGGACGTCCTGGATGAAGGGCTGGAGAGGAGATGCTGGGACATTAGCTGTGCTGTTTCCGCAGCAGACGGCAAGTTGCTGCAAACAAGGATGCAGGAGTCGGGTCCTGCCGATCCTAACCAGGCCACCCACCCATCTGAGACCTTGATTTACGGATCACTCCAGCCTCAGATTCCCCATCTGCCTAACAGGCTGCAGTTATGTAGGACGAAAGGAGAAAGGGGCCACATTCCCGGCCACTCTGGCTCCCACCCAGCACAGGTGGGAACCTCAGACCCCGCTGTTGGCCCAGGGAGGGGGCTGTCACCTAAGATGGGAAAAGTGACTTGGTGAGTGGATGCTGCTGCCATCACAAGAGAGCAGGCAGCAACTGCTCAGTGTAAAACGCTGTGTAGACGGGAACCCAGGACACAGAGGGCAGGGGGAGGATGATTAACCAGCCGCTACACGACCTCCAGGCTGCAAAGGGGCTAAAGCCATTGCCCTGAGCAATGGTCTCCACCTCGGCCGCCCACCCCAGGCCAGTGATGTCCGTGCCCCTGGTGGTGCCCGGGGCAGAGGTCTGAGACCAGGGCTCCAACAGCGGCTTCTCAACCCCTCAGGTGGTCACCGATCCTTGGGCTCTGGTTAAAATGCAGACAAACGGCATGGTGGCACACACCTGTAATCTGAGCACGCTGGAAGGCTGAGGCAGGAGGATTGCAAGTTTGAACCCAGCTTAGGCAAATTAGTGACTTAGCAAGACACTGTCTCAAAAAATAAAAAGGGTTGGGGACGTAGCCCAGGGCAAAGGCCCTGGATTCGAGCCTTGGGTATTAAATTAATCCTCGGTATCTCCAAAGAAAATAAATGCAGACGACGTGCCATCAACAAAGCTGGGCTGGGGTGGTGGTGCCACTCTGAGGACCTTGGCTGCAGGGTGGGCATTTGCCTGCGGAAAGCCCTCTTCTGGCCAGGGTTGGCCCTGGGGGCCAGGCCCTCCGTCCAGGGCCCTGCTTTGGGAAGCCCATCTTGCATGCACACCTCAGCCTTTCCCATGTCTGCAGGTAGCAGCGGACCCAGCGGGGGGCCAGGCCGAGGTGCACAGTGCGGGCAGCTTCCCGAGGCTGTCCTGGACGGCCTGGCCTACCTTGTTGATGACCTCCACCCTGATTTCCTCCTCGTCGGCAATGGCTTTCTCTTTGCTGACTTTCTCTGTTTCCACACCAACTACCTGGATCAGCTTGTCTGCGTTTTCGTTCTTCTGCTTGAGCTCTATCTCCTGAACCGCCAGCTTGGCCTTCAGATCGTCCACCTACGGAAGGAGAAGCCAGAAGCTGGCATGGGGGTTGTGGCTGGACCGCACTGCCCTCCACAGTGCACGGAGGCCGGCAGCCACGGGACCTCGCAGAGGAGTTGGGGTGCTGGGAGACCCATTTTGAGGGCTCTTCATTTTCTCAAAGGTTGGTATTTACGAGCACCAACTGTGTACACAGGGTCACGTGTGGAAGACACATTCCTGGTGCTGTAGGGGTTGGCAGTCAAGGTGCCTGGATTAAAAAATATGTCAATTCAGTCACAGTGTGGAGGGGTTCAGGGGCCCCAGGGGCTGTCCAGGCTGATAGAAGAGTGAAAAGGAAAACATGGCTGGGGAATCAGAAAGCCCCCTGGGAAGCCAATGTGAAGCCCCAGCTTGGTCCTGACCTGGGCAGGGAGGAGGGGTCAGTTCACCAGGCTAGAAAGATGAAGAGCTTGGGACTCCATTGTGGAGGATATCTAAGGCCAGGCAGATGACCTGAAAATCAATACAGCCTGAAAGAAAGTATGGCGGAAGCCTTTTCAGCCTGGCACCTCAGTAGGAATGGTGCATAAAAATGGATGTCTTCCCGCTGACCACCCTGGATTCAAGAACCGGATCTTCCTGGATGCAGGGCACCAGCCCTCACCTGTCCACAGCGCCCACTGGAAAGTCATTGTTAGGAAAGCCCTTTGACTCTCTATATAAACTGGACCATTGCTTTGTATCTCCGGTCTAGACATGAAAGTCTCAAAGGCAGGAATCCTGCTCGTCCCACTTGATGCACGCATGGCCCCCTCGCGTGGCCTTTCCCGTGGAAACCTGTGACACTGGCAGCACCCTGAGGCCTACCTGAGAAGCCGTGCTCTGCAGCTTCATCAGCCCATTCTCCAGTCTCTCAATTTTGGCCACCAGTTCCGTCCGCTTCTTGCCCAGCAGGTTCTGGTAGAGTTTGATCTGCTCCAGAAAGGTCTTGGGTGTGGTGTAGTTGTAGCGGTGCTCAGTGGCCAGGTACATCTTGGACATCTCATTGACAGTGGTGTGCACGTAGGCCATGAAGAGGCTGATGGAGGCCTTCGCTTCTGGCTGCAAGCACGAGATGAGGTGGTCATCCCTGTCCAACCCAGCACCTCCCTGCTTCTGCCAGGTGGGGTTTCCAGGATGCACCTGGGCCCTGGACAAGATGTGCTGCCTCCCACTGAAGAGGCCCTTGGAGCTACGCCTCAGAAACGGTCCAGGCGACATTATTTTTAATTCGATTAATTGGAAAATGTGTTTGTTCCACACATGCTTCTTTGGTATCCATATGGTGGCCCTGGCTGGTACCTGTGGCTATTCCCAATCCTAAGGGCTCCTGTCTGGGGGACTGGAACCCAGATCTGTGCCCTGCCCGCCTCACCTGAATGCCCTCGGTTTCCTCCAGGAAGCGAGCACTGACTGACACCAGTGCTTCTTCGGGCCACTCGTGGAACCAGTCGATGGCAGTGCAGTTGACCACGGCAGGGAATTTTCTTGCTCGCACCCGCAGGATGGAGCCCACAGGAGAGAAACACAGGATCACCTAGACGTGGGCACAGGCAAGCCGCTGGCTGGGCAGCCAGGCCAAGGCCAAACCTGCCGCTGCTGCAGTGAGCTCCTTCATGAAGCCCAGTGCTCTGTGGGGCCCAGCGTCCGCAGGCCCAGGGTGGACAGGTATGCTCTGAGTGTGGGGTGCAGGATGGCTGTGTGCCACCACAGATCACCCTCTAACTGATTTCTCTGCTCTCGCTGTGCAGTGAGGGTGCGAGGTAACCCCTACTTCTAAGACAAATCTGCCTGAGGAAGAAGCAAGGAATGGCATCCACACAGGGCAGACGAGGCCTGAGAACGGGGAGGCGGTGGTGTCTTCTAGGTTCAGTTCGAGACACAGAACCTAGGTAAGGACACTAGGGACCCTGGGAGCCCCGCTGGAGGAGGTGGGGTAAGGCAGGCCCCGAGGTGCCTTTGGCTGGATGGGAAGCACCCTTCTCATGGAGCTTCTGCCTCCCCTCTTTCCTCCTCCTCTGCTCCCTTTTTTTGGGGTGCAGTTTGCTGGACATGCCACTGCATGGGGTTGGCTAACTGTTCCTCTGATTTCCCAGCTCTCTCTAGAGACATGAGGGGGGCACCGCCCTGGGCTGGCAGGACCACGCTGAAGGACAGCCACGGACTGGGAGCCCTGGCCAGGAAACCCCGGTCCCACAAACAGCTCTCACTGATGGGCTGGAGAGGACACTGGCTTTACTGTGTCCCGCAGGGGAGGAGTGAGCACCTGCAGACCTGATGGGGCCGTGGGGCTGGACCCTCCCCAGGCAGCCACCCTCCTGAGCTCTGAAGAGGAAGACCGCCAGGGTCCCAGGTGCACTCCTTCTTGCTCATGGACAGAAAATGCTTCCTGTGGCCCTGAGACACCTCTGAAGGCCCACAGGAAATAATCCCCGCCACCCCACTGTTGCTTCAGGGTTTCTATATCCTGGGAAGAACGGATCCAACTCCACAGAGCCAGGCAACAGGGAGCTGAGCGGCCCCGGACCCTGGCTGGCTGGCATGGCCCTACCTTGAGCTGCCTGCGCACTTTCTCGATGAAGAACTTCCAGCAGGCCTCCCGTGTGTCGGCCATGCCAAGCGACTTCACCTGCGGTCGCATGCAGGATATGATATTCTCCACCTCGTCGTCTGTGAACAGCCCCGGGATCTCGCCTGAGGCCAACAGGTCGTTGATCAGCACCAGGAACTGCTCCTCAGCCACCTGAGAGTCGGTCATCAGGAACACCGAGGGCACGTTCTTCACCGCGGTCTTGATGTACTGAGCGGCCAAGTCAAGCTGGACAAAACAAGGACCACAGGGGCTCCCTTAGGGACACCCCAGGCAGCCACCCAGAACCCACACTGGGGCCAACTTCCTGGGATGGTTGGGTCTGCAGCGGGGACCTAACCCATAAGTGGGGCATGGTCATGCCCATCGCAGCCAAAACAGTTGTCGTGTGGCGGGGCTGTGGGATGAAATAGTTTCAGCCTTAAAAAGGAAAGATGGCCAGGTATGGCAATGCATGCCTGTGATTCCAGCACTTGGAGAGGCTGAGGCAGGAGGACTGAATTTGAGCCAGTCTGGGCATTTTAGCGACTCAGGGAGATGCTGTCTTAAACAATAGAAAGAGCTGGAGACGCAGCTCGGTGTAAAGGCCCTGAGTCCAGTCCCTAGGACTGAAAAAAAAAAAGTTCTGACATGTGCCGCACCACGGACAACCTTGAGGACGCAACTCTAAGTGGAATAAAAGGAGACAGAAGGACAAACCCTGCGATCCCACTTCTAGGAGTTTTGCCGAGTGGCCGCACTGGAGATACAGACCATAGAAAGGGGGTGGCCAGGGGCCGCAGGAGGAAGTGGGAAGCTGTTGTTTAGGGAGGACAGGGTTTCCGATGCACAAGCCAAAAAGAGTTCTGGAGACGGACGGGGGTCCTGGCTGTGCAGTGTGAACGGCCGGCGCCACTGCACCGTGCACCAGAAACGCTGTGTGTGAGGAGGAAAACCCAACAAGCCCTTCCCGGAAGCCCTCGGAGAGGCCCAGTGAGTGCAGCCCAGGCTTGGGCTGGGGGACCCCACCCTGGGAGGGGTGAGTCGTCCTCAGAGTGGTCCACACACGCAACTCCCTTCATATCCCAGGAGGGGTAAAAGAAACACTTGGCAAAATGACTTTCTACCAATTCTGGAAGAATGAATGAAGAGGTAAGAAAATAAAGTGTGTTACGAAATGTGACTAGCTTGCTACTTTTGAAAAAATTGTGCCAATTTACACGTGTATGCGCATTAAGCAGTGTCATAGGCTTGGGATGTAATTTAATGGTCCAGCGCTTGCCTAGTGTGTGCGGGTGAGACCCGGCGTTCTATCTCCTGCACTGCAAAAAAAAGGGGAAGGAAGGAGAAATGAAAGAAGGAAGAGGGAAGGAAAGAAGGAAGAAAGGGAGGGAGGGAAGAACTACGTATCCAAGCACTGATGGGAACTTTTGGCCAGCATGGTGGTACACACACCTGTGATCCCAGCACTCTGGGAGGCTGAGGCAGGAGGATCCCAAGTTCAAGGCCAGCCCAGGCAACTTAGCAAGAGCTTGCCTCAAAATAAAAAAGGGCTGGGGATAAAGCTCAGCATGAAGGCCGTGCACTCAATCTCCAGCACTGAGGGGAAAAGTGATCTTTCAGGGTTTTGGTAGCTTATCTAGTTTCCTTTTTTTTTTTTGGTACCAGGGATCGAACTCAGGACCTCATGCTTGCAAGGCAGGTGGCGGAACCACTGAGCTAAATCCCTGGCCCTGCCACCTCTGTTTTGTTTGTTTTTGCTTTTTTTTTTTTGGTACCGAGAATTGAACTTGGGTCCTTGCGCTTGCGCAGCAGGCAGTGAAACCACTGAGCTAAATTCCCAGCCCAAAAACATTTCTTTTTTTCTTTTTATTTATTTTTTTTTTATGGTACTGGGGATCGAACTCGGGTCATTGTGCTTGCGAGGCAGGCGGCGAAACCACTGAGCTAAATCCCCAGCAGGCCCTCTACTTTTAATGGGACATACAGGCCTCTGTAATTTTGTAAAAGATTTTGCAAGCAGGTGCTCTGTGTAGCCTAATTCTATCCCCTGGGTGCGAGTCCACCCCCTGGGAGTCTCCTGCTCAGAGAAGCACTGCAAGGTCTTCCTCTTGAAGTTGACTGGAATGGACTAGGGGTCAAAAGCAAGCCTCAAATCCCATATTCTTGACAAGCTAAAACTATTTTTAAAAAGCAAAGAGGGACCAGGGCGTGGTGGCACATGCCTGTCATCCTAGCCCTTGGGAGGCTGAGGCAGGAGTATCACCCGTGAGTTCAAGGCCAGCTTGGGCTACATGGTGAGTTCAAGGCCAGCCTGAACTGCAGAGTGAGACCTGTCTATAAAAAAAACAAAAAAAAAACAAAGTGAAGGGAAGCTTTGAGCTTGGAAAGCAGAGGCTGCAGGTAGCTCTCAGGAGGCAGAGTCTCAAGTGAGCCTGACAGCAGCGACTCTAGGAAAAGCTGCCATTCTCACTGTCAGAGATCAAGCTCCCAGGCTGGAGACCGCGATGCCAGAGTCCGAGACTGACTGCATGAGCGGCTCAGCGCACACCTCCCGCAAGCAGGAAGCCCAGCCCCTGCTTCCAGATTCCCAACCCAGAGAGGATTTTGAATGGGGTAAGATGGGAAGGCAAGTGACCCTGCCGCCCACCGAGCAGAGCTCACAGGCCTGGCGTGGAGCCGGGCAGCCCCGCTGGGAGATGTCTTTCAGGACTTCTGGCTGTCTCCTGTGCACCCCCAGGAGAACCTCTTCCTGTCTGGAGCCTGACCCTGTGGGTTTGCAGGGCAACACCTCCCCTGTTGTGCCCCCTCCCTCTCGGCCTCACCGTGGTCCCTTGCCCTGCCCACCCACATGCTGAGCTGCTGGGACTCTGCCTTCCCCGTCTGTTCTCCCCGGTGAGTGCCCACAGTCCCCACGTCCCCCTTCCTGTGCTTCTGAACCCCGCTGTGTCGCCCGCCTCCCTGTGTACTGCCCCTTCCCAGACACCGGCCCTGGGAGAACAGCCTCCCGGCCTTCCCCCCTGCACGGTCTGCACCTGCTCCCCATCTCGGACCAGAGTGCCATGTGCACTCACCACTGTCCCCGTGAGGCACCATGCTGTCCCTCCCCGGGCCAGGAGGACGGGCGCACCCCGAGCGGCACTTTCGCTTGCCAATGTCATGCCCCAGAGAGAGGGAGGAACGTGCAGCCGAGTATGGGAGCAGGTCCAAGTGGACAGGAGGAAGGGGTGGCTTCTCAGCCCACAGGCCCTTTCCAGCACTCGGTCAGCTCCCCGCCCAACCCTGACGGACAGCCGCTCCTTGGCCTCCCTGTGCACGGTGGGGACCTCAGGGAGGCTGCTCAGCCCTGGAGACCTGGCTGAGGGGAGCCCGTGAGGCGTGGAGGGGTGGGGTAGAACCTGATCCCGAGGGATCTGGCCTGGCACCCCACACACGCTCTGCCACCTCCCATCACCTCCGTGTCCCCAACGCATCAGGTCACCCCTCCTCTGGGCAGATGTCTTGGTGCAGACTTGTTTTCCCGGGACCAAGACCAGGGTTTCCCAGATACTGCACAACAGCCTTCAGGGGCACTTCCTGGCCCTTTCCTGCTGCGTCCATAACCTGTCCTGGGCACCCATGGCTTCAGGGATGGGGCACACTTTACGGCGATGTATTAAAGCATCATGACCGCGTGTGCTGTGTGGAGGTGTGCAGCGGGGCGGGACGTCACTGCGACTCTGTCCTGGAACCGCAGCACCATCCTTGCTCAGGCCTTTGCTCAGGCCTCCCATGTCCCGAAGCCCCGCTTGTCCCTCCCCTAAGCTCCAAGTGCACAGAGGCTGCTTAATAAATAGCAAAAGATCTCAAGTCGGGTGTGGGGTGAAGTATGCTAGGCAGCAGACCATGGCTGCCGTGGCCGATGCCCATGGTGGAAGTGCTAAGACTGACCACCCAAGACTGGCCCTGACCCAAGGAACTGGGAACCAGGTGTCCAGAGAGAGAGCAAGGAGCGACACAAATCAGCACGACTTGGCACAGACTGGGAGCAGGAAAACACACAGCTCCAGGCAGGGGACGCAGACAGCCCGCGCAGGGGGTGGGGACAGCAGGGCGGCCCCACTCTGTGAGTGTCCAACCAACCGGACCCTCACGGGTCGCTTCGATTCTGAGAGCAGCGTGCGGGAAGCCCTGTCTCAAGAGGCCCTTTCCCTTAACGCTGGGATTTACAAATAGAGCAGACCCTTTACACAGAGAGTTGAAGCCTCCGGAAAGTGGAGGACAATGGAAGAGGAGCTGGAAGCTTGCCCAGGGTGGCTGGCCCTGGCTCGGCCTGCTGTCCTCACCGGCCTGCACGCAGCCCAGCTCCTGGGCTCGGAGCTCCAGTGGACTCCGCCTGGCCCGCACAAGCCCCCAATCCTGCCAGAGACTGCCCGGGGTCTGGCACTGTCTGGGCCCTCAGGGCAGCCCCGCTTCGGACCTGAGAGCCGACCGGGTAGCGTGGCTGGATCAATTTCAGGCCTCCTTTCAAGCACTCTGATGCTCGCTCTGGACTAATAGTGTTTGACTCGCTCCCGGCTCCCTGGGAGGGTGGATTTTCGGGAAGGAGAAATCAATAGAAAGCCTGAGCAGCATGCCTCGGGCATGGGAGACCAATTTCCACTAATGTTTATTTAATTAATTCCAAATGCAGCCGTCAGAATCTCAGGCTTGTGGTGAGACACCCAGGGATGGCTCTGAACTCTTTAATCTGGAGAACGGGGATAATTTCGACATCCTGTGACCCAGAGCGGGAGTCAGATGCTTTGGCTCCCCTGCCCCTTGCTGACTGTGAGGCAAAGCGCTGGGTCAGGGGCGGGAGGGGCTCTTTCCCCTCATCACAAGCAAGACTCCCCCACGGTGGATCCGGGCCTTTTCTCCCTCCCCTCTCCTCCCCGGCTTCTCCCGTCTTCTCTCTTCTCCTTTCTCTTCTTTGTGGTACTGGGATTGAACTAAGGGAGTGCTGAGCCACATCCTCGGTCCTTCTGAAGCACTAAATTGCCCAGGCTGGCCTCATACAATCCTCCTGCCTCAGCCTCCCAAGTAGCTGGGATTACAAGCGTGCATCACCACACACTCGGCCTGGCCTGCACTTTTTTGAGACACAGATGTGCTGGGTGGGCTGCGGTGGCAATCCCTGTGCTGGCTCCCTCTGGGAAAGGCTGCGCTTCCCTCTGCGTCCACCCTCAGGTCGCCTTGCCCTCACCTTGAGGTCCGGGATCCCGTAGTCCTTCTTGAGGGTGATCTGGAACACTTCCAGAGCGCTGATGTAAGCGGCCAGGCGAGAGAGGCTCTGCTTGCCGCTGCCACCCACCCCCACCAGCAAGGCGTTCCCACGGGGGGACTCCAGGATGCGGTTGATCCTGCAGACGTGGGCCACCGCGTCTTCAAACAGCACCTGCAGGGACCTGGGGTCAGCTTGGGGACAGTGCGGACGCCTGCCAACCCCTCGGCAGAGCCCCGCGTCTGACACAGCCCTGGAGGACACCATTTGGGGGTTTGTCCCACAGCTTTGATTTCTGCAGCTTCAGTTACCCACAGTCCACCACTATCTGCAAACAGACATGGAAAACTCCGGAAATGATCAATTTATAAGTTGTGAGTAACTTCTGTTATAGTCCACTATTGTGATTGTCCTATTTGATGATTAGTGAAGGTTGTTAACCCCGTGCTGCGCCTAATCTGTAAGTTATACTCTATCACAGGTGCTTGGTTGTGGGGTTCCGTGCCGTCCGTGGTTTCGGGCTCCAGCCCGGGTCTTGGATGCATCCCCACGGAGGAGGCAGGAGAGGAGATCGAGGGCCCACGCCTCACCAAGTTCATGGCTGCATTCACGTCGTTGTAACGGTCCAGGGCGTCCGTGAGCAGCTTGTTGAGATGAGCCATGTTGGTGACGGAGAAGTATTTGGGGTCTCCGACCCCTTGAGCAAAGTGGCAGAAGATATTTGGTCTTGCAAATAAGAGTTCTTCCCCAAGACCCTGGAAGCAACGGAGAAGATCCTTCTCATTCTTGCTGCACAGGTACACAGATACTGAGCAGCGGCCCCAGGGCTTGCCAAAGCAGCCTAGGGTGCCAGGCCAGATCACCAGAGAAGCAAACTGGAGCTGCTGTCAGCCCCCAACCACTGGGCAAAAATCCCTGGTGGTTTGGCCATTCTTCCTCCCCTCCACCATGGGGAATGAATGGATGGTCCAAGCGGTTGCCCGAAATTACGCAGCAGGTGTCGGGCACACACAGAACGGGCGGAGCCTTTCTCCCCCGAGGGCACAGAGGGAGATCACTGACTGAGTGGTGGATTCCTTCCCAGTGGTGAGGCACACCGGTAATCCTAGCACTCAGGAGGCCGAGGCAGGAGGACCGCTGTGCGTTCGGGGCCAGCCTGGGCTACATAATGAGTTCGAGGCCAGCCCGAACTACAATTGAGCAGATCTGCCTGTTGCTACCACAGGCCTCTCCAAGAGGGCTGCAGCCACCCTGGGCCCTAGACCGGCGCCCTCTTGGAGCTCCCTGGGCTCAGCCAAGGGCCCTCAGCTTGACTCACATCAAAGAACTTCTTGGTGGAGGCAATGACGACCCTGCGCAAGGTGTCCTGGTCCCTCTGGTCCACCATCTTGTCACTGTACACGCGCTCGGTCTCGTGCAGCCAGAGGCGCACAAGGTCCAGTGGGGTTTTCAGAAGCTCTGCTGTGGAGAACAAGAGCCCCTGCCCCGGCCAGGACAGTCAGTGTCCTCAGCCTTGTCGCGAAGGCAGGCCCAGGGGTGGGGGCGAGTCGAGCGTGGAAGTGGCTGCTTCCCCGAGGGCCGGTTTCTCCTCGGGGCCAGAGAAGCCACTGGTGGCCGAGTCATGCCTGGCGTGGGGGCCGGAGGTGTGTCTGCGTCCCCAGGACGGGGCTCATGGCTCCGTCCTTTAAAGGGAGCTTGCTGGAGGGACAGGGCCACTGACCGTGGGAGCCAGGTGATCAGAGGCCCCAGAGCGGAAGGCCACCCCCTGGGCTCCGCAGCAGAGGTGTTAGGGTCTGGTCCTGGCCATGCCGAGAGCGCGGTGAGGGTCTGGGCCCTGGAGACCCCGCCTCCGTGGTGTCCACAAGGACACCGTGTGTGATGATGCACTGTGAAGGCCACAGGCAGGGCGGTGAGACAGCGTGTGGGGGCTGCGCAGGCCTTTGGGAGGTGACGTCACCTCCTGAGCTTCCCATCCCCCTTCTGTAAAATGGGGAGAAGAACGCCAACTTCCTGTGTTGTTTGGAGGAGGAAATGTAATTGTGAGTGGCCGCATCTAATGCCTGACTCAAACCTAGGAAGAGCTCGGTGTGGTGGTGCACGGCTGTAACCCCAGCTACTTAGGAAGCTGAGGCAGGCGGGTCACAGGTACAAGGCCAGCCTAGAGAAGAGGAGACCCTGCCCAGAACTAGAAAGTCCTCCAAAGCCTCGCGTGTTCAGAGATGGGGCTTCCGGAAGGTGACTGGATCACGGGGCTGCCGTACCTCTCTGTGGGTTCCTCCATAGATGAGTTCAGAACTAAACGTGCTGTTAGGCGGGGGCCCTGGATGAGGGGGTCACTGAGTTGTACCCTGGAAGGCAGCATCTGCCTTTCCGGTTCTTCCCTTAGCGTCTGCTTCTGGGTTGCCGGAACTGCCACCACACCCTTCCTGCCTTGAAGCCGAATCCTCTGAAACTGAATCCTCTGAAAACCCTGGGCCAAAGTAAACTTCTCCTCCATTAAGTTTGGGTGTTGGATATTTTGCCGCAGTGATGAAGAAAGTGACTGAGACATTGTCTCAAAAGAAAGAAAATGTGGCTAAGGTTGTCGCTCAAGAGTCTGTGGCTTCAATCCTGAGGACTGCAAGAAGGTGAAGATGGAGAAGGAGAGGAGGAGGAGGAGGAGGAGGAGGAGGAGCAGGAGGA